AAAATGTTAAGGAAAATTGATTATGTCATGCAGGAAGCAAAGGACTTTGCCCTGACAGAGGCTTCAAAATGTCAATAGCAGACGTGTATCTGCCAGATACTCAGATACGCATCTGTGGATGGGGGGTGAGACTAATGCGAATTAAATCCCAAGAAGGAAAGGAGCTTTCAAATCAATTAAAAATCTTTTGCTAAACAGATGCGCTGCAACGTTTGAGTGGCACCTGTTGCTCTCCAGCAGCCAAGCGATAATCTTGCCACAATTAAGAGTCATTTCACTTATCACTCTTATTCCCACCCCTCTCTGTCCCCCCTCTTCCTGACACAAAAGACAGCGCGCCCGCAGCGGCACTCGTTCTGTGACGGAAAGCCATTTTCCCTCTGTTGACGCTTAGGGATTTAGCAGCACTCTGTCGAGGAGAGCACTTTGCACAATGCCACGAGCCATAGCCATAGCCATAGCCACAGCCACAGCCACAGCTGCAGCCATCAAATTGCAGCCCAGACAGACGACAATGAGCGAGGACTCCACTTCTTTTCCCCCGGCAGCTTTCGCTGGCCTTTCTTTTCATCAGTTTGGGGGATGGATGGATGGATGCGATGCAATAAGCGAAATGGCAATGTGCCATGAAGAGTGGAAGCAGCTCATAACGAGGTACAGAGGAGCCAGGAGCCAGGAGCCTTCTATGCTGCTGCTGCACAGACACTGGCAGGATTCAAGGCACAAATTGAAAAGCCCTGGCAAATGAAATATGCATTGCATATCCATCCTTCTCGACATCATCTTCATTAAGTGCAGTCTTCCTATTGAGACACACCGATGACCCCAAAACCATCTCCTCCTCTCCCTGTCTGCCTGTCTGTCTGTCTGTCTGACTTTCTGCCTCTCTTTCTGCCTGTCTCGCCTTCATATACTGACAAATCATTTCATTTTCCCTCGATTTTCAGGCATGCTCTTAAAATTGTTGTTCGTTCAATGACATTGAAAAGAATTTTCATATGTGAAAAATCCCCACTCACGTCTCCACAGCATTTCGTTCCTTGGTTTTTTTCTCTGTCGTTGCTGACGTTTTGCTTCGTTTATTAATATCTGAGATTGTGCAAACAGAAAGGGTATATGGTTTTCGTTGGAGAGTACGTAACAAGGGAGTCCGATCGGAAAACGTCCATGGGATAGGACTGCGATTTCGAATGAAGCTTATGATGCGCCCATGACGTTGATTCGCTATTCGAATTCCCCGTAAGCAAAAGGACACATTCGTCGCAAATCAGGAGTGTTTCGGGATTTGTTGAACGATTCGAAATTGTTCAAAATTTTTTGGCTTAACATGAATATTGGTAGAAAATTGCCAGCTTTATGAAAACCTAATAAATACTACAAATACTAGAATATACTAGGAATAATAGAAATTACTAAAAATACGTGAACTGCCAACGAAATACCAAAAATACTAAAAATACTAAAAATACTAAAATATAAGAGAATCAGAAACATATAAACATGGATAAGAATCCATAGTAGGAAACTAGAAAATACTAAAATACTAAAAATACCAAAAAATACCATAAAATACTACACATTCCAAACAATACCAAAAATATTAAAAATATAAATATATATAAATATAAAAAAATACAAAAAAAAACATAAATGTTACAAAAATATCTAAAAATATCATAAATGCTAAATTGCATAAAAGGAAAACTAGAAAATATAAAAAATATGGGATACTGCCAAAATACTTAAAATACAAAAATACTATAAAGATACAAAAAATACCAGAAATACTAGAAAATACCATTCTAAATGCCAGAAATACAAGAAATGAATGCTTCAAAGTACTAAAAATTCTATCAAATTGTATCAAAAAAACTATGTACTCTTTGGAAGCTTCCAGATATAAATATTAAAGATATGTTCTACAATTTTGCGTTATTTCGTTTCAATCAAAATATAGAAAATTAAGCCAGAAATCCAAGTTAATTTCTTATCGACTGTAATGTTCCATTTTTACATTCAGTTCTAAGATATTCCAAGATAAGGTACAGATATTTCCCTTCCTTAGAGGGTATCTTTCCAGTCGGTGCACCCTTTCTGATCCCTTATTCTGGTTATATATTGTGTCTCTGCTGGTTGTTCTTTCATCTATCATCAGATTTTCCTTCCTTCAGTTTCCCTTATTTCGATCGTTGTCTGATTTTGTAGCTTTCTCTGGTTTTTGTTGGGTAAATTTATAAACGCTATAAAAAATCTGCCACATTGTTCCCGTTTTTCCTCCATTTCAGATGCTATTTACGGATCGTTGTTTCTCTTTTTACAGTCCGTGATAATATATGATAAAAATGATTAAATTGTATATTTGATGTCTCTTTGAAGTTTGCTTCTGCCGCTGCCTCTGTGCGCCTCTGTGTTGCATAATTGCATAAATTGATTACGAATTTCCCTCCGGTTGCCCAGTTGGTTGCCGCCTGGTCGAGAGCATTTCCTCCAATTTCCCATAATTTCCCGTCTCTCTTAATGGGTTTCCCGAAAATGTTGGCCCACTTTTCCCCCCACCATCTGTATCTTTGGGGCATGAAAGGTCAATGAATTGTTTGTCACCGTCGTCGTTCCATCTAATGACCGCCAACTGTGCGGCACATCTGAGCATCGAATCTCTATAGAGAGAGATAGAGAAATGTGGAGCAAGAGCAATCCCCCATATGTTTCTAATGGACACCCCCCCCCCCCCCCCCATCATACGTGTGGGGTTGTGTGGGTGTAACTGTTTGTGGACGCCTTGCTGCGTCCATTTGTCTGCGGTCGACGGCTGAGTGTTTTGCCTGACGGATTGACTGATGTGTGGGGCTGCTGCTGTTTCTGATGCTCTTGACTCTCGTGGCCTCTCCCTCTTGCAGATCAAGGCTACAATGTTGCAAGACGGCCTCTTTTGACAATTGCAAGTTTGAAGAGCGCAAACATTGGCAGAAATATGAAATGGAATTATTAAGTTTTATGGAAGATTATTCCTTTAAATACTATCTTTATACTGAATATCTTTCTAGAATGGTATCTGTTACTATAGGAAGTAGGATTAATGGCAAATGGGGGCAATGGAAGGGGTATTTTTCAAGGAGTTTAAGCAGACATTAAATGATTTTAAAGTCTTTTAAGATCTGGAAATCTTCCTAAATCCATCATCTATCAATAATCCACTCTTTTACGACCGATTTTCAAATTTAGATGAGATTTTTTGAACCAATTAAGGGGGAAAAACTCTTCAAAATTCATGTTCGCTCTCTCCCAGTGCGACTTAGCAGGGAACGTAGGGAATCTGTACCAAAAACCAAAACCGAAAAAGGGTGATAAACTCGTAAAACTGCATGTTCTCTCTCTCTCCCAGTGCGACTTAGCAGAGAACGGAAAACATCTTATTGATTGAAGATTTGTGAGGCACAGTTCTTTTTTGAAAATATATTTTCTGTGTAAAATATCATAAATCATATAAAAGAGAGCACCATAATCTGCATGTGCCTCGATTTGAAGAGCTTTGTCTTTCTTTTGAGCAAAAGAATAAATCCAAATGAAAGACATACAAGGCCTTGGAACAAGGTCTGGCACGAGAGCAAAATCCAACAAAATGCAAGACAAATAAATGCAAAATCTAGTATATATATATTTTAATTAAAAGGCTGCTGTTTCTCAGCCCACAAAACCCGTGTTTGACAGCAGTTTCTGATGATTCTGTTGCTGTTGCAGTTGCAAATTGCTTATCGGCGAGCTGCCACAAATGGCGACATTTTCAAACTGTCCGAATACATGAGTGGGAGTGGGAGGGGGAGGGAGTGGGAGGGGGAGGGGGAGGGGGAGGTGACTCGCCACATCCGCCGTGGCCACGAAGGCCACAGGCATGTCCATTGTTTGATCCACACACAGCCCCAGCCCCCATAGTCCATGCTGTTTCCTGGCACCGCCACCTGCCACACTGCCACACTGCCACTGTGGCACATTGTGCCCCACGTGTCGTATTTGTTGTATTGAATGTGGACGCAAAGGGCATGGGTTGACCCCAGCCACCCAGTGGGTGGCAGCGTCGATTCTGGGTCACTTTAAACAGTGTTGTAAAGGATTGACACTCCACGTCGGACACGCCCCCATCTCCGTCCACCTGTCATACTTTTTGCCGCTGTGCTGGCTTTTTTTTTTCATACGACCCTTTTGTGGGCGAGAGTGTGTGCAAACACACATAGATACATACGCAACCCATAGATACACAGATACACAGCTACATTTACACGTGCCTTGTGGGGGTCCTTTGCGTGCGCATTTCCGCTTTGGCAGCTCGAAATTTATTCGATCAACAAGTTTCGTTTGTCATTTTACGCTTCGTCTCTCTCTATCGCCGCACAACAGCAAACAATAATAATAACAAAAGCCCCAAGACCCCGAAGAAAGAGAGGAAATAGAGGAAACAGAAGAGGGAAGAGGCGGCAGGATATGAAGGGGATATATGGGGATGCCAAAGATATGAAAATTAGGAAAAACCAGGAAGAAGAATGAAGTTTAATGCAAAAAAAAGTACCATCATTTAGCCTTTCTTGAAAATGAATCTCTCTCTCTCTCTCACAGTGTGGCTTAGCCGTTCAGGGTATGTACGGCATAACGGCATAATGTGGAATAGTGGAAAATCTAATGTACGCATTAAAACCGATTTTATAGGCAACAAGGCCTCACTCTCACTATGGCACTCTGTCACTCTGTCACTCTGTCACTCGTGAAATATTTATAGAAGTTTTATTAATAAATTAATGCGCGGCCCTTAAAGCCAATTCATGCGTGAAATATTAACAAAGGGGGCGGGGGGAAGGCCATCAATAGCTACAGCTAAGAGAGAGAGAGGGAGAGAGAGAGGAGAGATTTTGTGTAACCTGATAATTGAACGAACAGCAACCGAAACCATATGGAATGCCTCTTAATAAAAAATAAAAAAAAAAACCCTCTTATTTTGCTCCTTTTTGCAGACATACCCGACATTCCCGATGACATCAAGCATCTGCAGAGCCTCCAGGTGGCGGATTTCAGCTCGAACCCGATACCCAAACTGCCATCGGGCTTCACACAGCTGAAGAACCTGACGATACTGGGCCTGAACGACATGTCGCTGACGACATTGCCGGCGGACTTTGGCAGCCTCACACAGCTCGAGTCGCTGGAGCTGCGCGAGAATCTGCTCAAGCATCTGCCGGAGACAATAAGCCAACTGACGAAGCTCAAACGCCTCGATCTGGGCGACAACGAAATCGAGGATCTGCCCCCATATCTGGGCTACCTGCCGGGTCTCCATGAACTCTGGCTGGACCACAACCAGCTGCAGCGACTGCCCCCAGAGCTGGGGCTGCTGACGAAACTCACGTACCTCGATGTGTCCGAGAATCGGCTGGAGGAGCTGCCCAACGAGATCAGCGGTCTGGTGAGCCTCACGGACCTCGATCTGGCACAGAATCTGCTCGAGACACTGCCCGACGGCATAGCGAAACTGAGTCGTCTGACCATCCTCAAGCTGGACCAAAATCGATTGCAGCGATTGAACGATACCCTGGGGAAGTGAGTAGAAAGTAGCACCGCCCCCCAAAGGACACCTTTCTAACCAATTCGTCTACCAATCTCTCCGTTTCAGCTGCGACAATATGCAGGAACTAATCCTGACCGAGAACTTCCTCTCGGAGCTGCCGGCCTCCATCGGACGGATGACGAAGCTGAGCAATCTGAATGTGGATCGGAATGCCCTGGAGTATCTGCCGCTGGAGATCGGCCAGTGCGCCAATTTGGGTGTCCTCAGTTTGCGCGACAACAAGCTGAAGAGGCTGCCCCCAGAGCTGGGCAACTGCACGGTGCTGCATGTGCTGGATGTGAGCGGGAATCAGCTGCTGTATCTGCCCTACTCGCTGGTCAATCTGCAGCTGAAGGCTGTGTGGCTCTCGGAGAACCAGTCGCAGCCGCTGCTCACCTTCCAGCCGGACACGGACGCGGAGACGGGCGAGCAGGTGCTCTCCTGCTACCTGTTGCCCCAGCAGGAGTACCAGCCGATTACCCCAGGTGAGCACCAGGAATTTACCACCAAGTGGGCTGAAAGTCGACCATCTATGGAACGGTTTATGGGGGCTCTACGGGGCTTGCGCTGTGCGCTGTTTGCTCGCTTTGGCCTCTGTTCTGCCACGGCGCTGGAAAGCCCAATTTTGGCCAAGTTATGCGCCCTCCCAATCCTCTTATCTGCCTTTGACATAGATTCCACAAAACCCCATTGACGCGGCCACTGTGCCCCTATTCCCTAGCCCCTATCGTTGTGCAATATCTTCAATCTATGCTCGCATTTCCGCGATAAGATACGAACACTCCCTGTGGTGCGCTGCACTCAGGGAAAAAGATTTAAAGAAGCGGAAACGCAGCTCTGAACTTAGAAATTGGTATCGAAACACTTTGGATAGATCTTGAATAAAAAATTAAATAAAAAGAAAAGGTACAAAAAGGAGAAGCGTGAAACAATAAAAACATAAAAGAAAATATAAAATGAAAAAAAAAAAATAAATAAATAAATAAGAAAATGTATATATAAATGATAAACTAAACAATATAAAAATGAAACAAATAATTAAAAATAAATAAATAATTAAAAATAAATAAATAATTAAAAATAAATAAATAATTAAAAATAAATAAATAATTAAAAATAAATAAATAATTTAAAATAAAAAAATAATGAAAGATAAAAATATGTAATATTTAGAAATAAATAAATTTAAAAACTTTATAAATACACATGAAATCAATTAAAAAATAACTAAAATCAAATTAAATGATAAAAACAAGAAATGAATCAAAAAATTAAATAAATTAAAAAAACCAACAATTCTTGTTGTATGCAACAAGAAAATGTCCATTAAACTCACTTTCAGAGTAATTGATCAGCTAATTTAAAATTAAACATAAAAATTAAAAGAAGATCAGAATTTGAATTGGGTTTAAAATTAAAATCATTTGAATTTCCTGCAAAAAAGGCGGCAGAGGCAATTATTCAAAAGTAAGGAAAGCTATAAAATTGATATTGAGATTGAAAGTTCTCCAACTGTTTTATCTATTATCTGGAATATTTTATATTATTAAATTGCACAGAGAATATTTCTCCAAGTGGAGTCTTGTGTACTTTGAGCCGCAGAGAACGAGGGAGCAAAGTGAGCAAACATCGCAGACAAAAAGCAAAAACAGAACCAGAAACGAGCTGCTATCCAAAAGAGCTCTGTGTACAATGCCCGTTACCCGTGTGTAGAGGAACCCGAACCTTTCACTATCTCTCTCTCTCTCTCTCTCTCTCTCTCTTTGGGGGGAACAAATTCCAAACTGGCAAAGATTTTGAAATTCAATTTGTTGGCCCTATTATATATTATATTTTATAGTATGTGTCTTTTCCCCTGTGTAATTAAATATCTATTGTGATCTGTGCTTTGGCACCTTTTTCCTTAATTGTTTTCCTACTGATTTATTTTTGGATTTACTTTCTTTGCAATCTGCCACATCACGCTCTGCACCACACGTCCTTCACTCCATCCAACAAACACCTTCTTTCGCTCCCTATCTCTTTCTCTCTGTATGTGTGCGTGCGTGTGTGTGTGTGTATCGATGATCCAAACAATCGAAAGACTATCCAGCCACGACGCTTTATAGATCAAGCGAAAAGTTCGATTCAATGGAATTCTTCAGTTATCAACAGAAAGGTTTGCTTTAAGTATTACCTCGTTGTTTTTGTGTGTGAAAAAAAAACGCTATCTATATATCTATCTATTTATCTATCTATGTATCAGCATTTTCAACATATAACATATGTCTTTATAATAGAGTTGTGCGAATTCCGACTCTACTCTAAAGACTCGCTTTCATAGCATGCCTCGGACCCAAAAACATTTGCATGTGATCTCTGCTTGGAATGTATATCGTATATGTCTGCTTATAGAACCATAACCATCTCAGCTTTAACAGCATTTTCATTCGATTTTAAACAAAATTCAATCCCAGTGCCGTAGGTAAAATCATTTCAATCTTAGATTTAGATGATCTTCAAAGAAACAAGACTATATACCATTATTTTTCCTTTTCTTTTCCCCCTTCTTCATTAACATCTCGATTCTGTACCCCTTCTTAAAGCTCCCCTTAGATCATAGTTCTGCCGAAAAAAAACTTGTCTCTGAAACGCATCTTGGCCCGGTCAGCATTGGGCCATTGTCATTGCTTGAAAACCAAAACAGAAACCGGTCTTTACTCTACTAACAAATGACGTCATGACAACTAGTTTTCTGTTTTCTGTTTTTTTGTTGTTGTTGTTGTTGTTGTTGTTGTATTAACAATCTCTGGCCCGGGCGTTGGCTGGGAAAATATTCAGAACAAACATCTAGAAAAAGGCACACGCACCCATCGAATATACTCGCATGTAGATGGATGGCAAAAGTGTGTGTCGATTTGTGTGTTTATGATTTGATTATGTTATTATAGTACTTTTCTGTTTATATTCCATTCATTCGCAAATGCCAGAATTTTCCACAGGCCCCCACTTGAGGAATGGCAAATGGGGCATTTCGGATTTGGATTTGGATTTGGATTTGGTTATGGATCGCCTGCCACCCTGTTCGGTGCCCTCTGATTGAGCAGTTTTGGCTGTCGTGTCAGTGGCAGCATGCCAGATGATCAAAGCGGGCTCCACATGCCCCACATGCCCCACACAGACGATTTGTTTGTTGGCTGCAAATGCCACGAAGATGCTGCTGTTGCGATCCATTTCCATTTATCTTCCATGCTGCACACACAACACCAAAAGTGTGTCTGTTGCAAAGAGTATGCCCCCCACCACCGAGCACTTGAGTGATGTCAACGATTGTGTGACGTCATGGCAGGGAGTGGCGTTTGGGGGAAGCGAATGTGGAACAAGATCGTCGGGCAATGTAATTAGAATTGGGTATGACGCTGCGTTGGTTAATATTATTAATCGCCTTGTGAGTGCTCTCAGTGTGTGTGTGCCACCAAAACTAACGGTTGATTAATGGCCTGTCACACGGGGGGATTACAGTGGAACATGGCTTTGAGGTTAACGATGGAACGGCCCCATGCCATAAAATGTATCAAAAGTTATGAGTTTCTGAGGGTAGAACGATATCTAGCTTTCGTACGAATGATAAAATATCGATTTATCGATTATTTATTGAAATTCGAATTTTATAAACAATCGTTTTATGCAGGAGGCAATCTGCAGGTAATATAATAGCATGAAATCAGTGGGCAGTAGTAGACGGTAGACAGATACATCGATATTTACTCTGAGATCGATATTAAAACCGATATTTAGCCCGATTTCCATAACAAAATGTTTTTTAAACCATATACTGATTTTACAATTGAGCATAAAACCAATTTCGATATGGAAATACTTTATTTCAATCAATAGCAAACGTATAATCGATGTTTACCAAATATAAAAATCGATATATTTCGATAACACAGTCCAGAACTAAGATGCGTATGGTATAGATTTTTCTTGGGCGGTATACCATCCTATAAATGAGTAAATCGAAATGTATGCTATTTCTACCATATTTCTGAATAATTTAGATATTTCTTTGGCTGTATAAATGTATGCTATTTCTACCATATTTCTGTATAATATCATATGTAAATATGGCTTTAGTTTGGAGTCTAGCCTCCCCTCTTTAGAGTCTTCACTGTGCCATCCGACTGATTGACTGCCTGATGATTCCAACCTGTTATTTTTGTTGTTTTGTGTAGTAGTTGCTGTAGTAGTAGATGTTGTTGCTGTTTTGTGGTCGCCATTCTGTTGCGTAGTTCCTTCCCCAATCGAAATGTATATCTATCAATATGTCGTAACTGTTATTTGGCTTCGAAACGGGTTTTAGCATTGAAGAAGTGCTGGCCTATAAATAGTATATATCATCAGCATATATCTCTCCACTAAAAAAACTCGTCTCAGACTCGACTGCCGATCCGTTCCGCACCGTTCCGATCCATTCAATCCACTCCAATGACGGATTAAGTGCACACACAACAACCTCTGGGGGGAAAACTCGCATAACTCAAACAATTTAGACAAATGTGTGAACGATTTCAAGATCAAACCGCTTTGGCGTTGCCATTGGCTCTGGCTTTCATTGTTTTCTATCTACGAATGCGAGTAGATATTATATTTTTAGAGTCATGTAAGCGTCGTAGTCGTCATCGTCGTACAAATTATCCAATTAAAGCTCTTTTGAGTGACGGTCACGGAAGACTCGGAAGAGGCGGCGGAGGAGGCACCACCTAACGCCCCCCATGGCTTTAAATGATTGTCATTACAACATGTTGTTTCATTCAGTTTATTTAATTTGCATAAATCTTCATATATGTTCCTTGGATGACCCACAAAATTCAGTTTATTCAAGTCTCTTCCCCCCCGCAGCGAGGGAACCTGCTGGCTGTTGATCTACCGAGTATTTGTCTATGCTAAAATCGTTAACGATTGTAAGTTACGACAGTGTGTGGATGCAGCTACTTAGGACTCAGGGCCGGCCCTGGGCTACGGAAGTGCCATAAACAATGATTTACATGTACATTTGTTTGTACTCTGGAAGAGCTGCAAGGAGCTCTGGGGGGTTCGCAGAAGGAAGCGTTTTTAAAGAGCTAGACTCTCAATTGGAAAGATATGTATCTGACTGCAAGAAATAACAGATTCAAGACAAGACCCCTAGATCGAATCACTATATGTATCTTTTGAAAAAACCATCAAAATATGCAACATATGGAGTCCCGCGTCATGCAGCAGCCCTCCTCGGTTGAGGGTGTAAGGGTATCTACAGCCTCGACTACCGCAGTCCATAATTAAATTCTTGTTTATTTGTTGTAACAAACAGACCACCCACCCAACCACCCAACCACCACTCGAAGCAGGGGGAGGGCGCCTGCAATTGCTGCGTAGATTGATTGGTGGGGCAGGAGGCTGTGCCTGTGCCTGGGCCTGTGCCTGAGAGGTGCCTCTCTGATTGCCACATGTTGCAACTTTTATGTTGTTTACATGTGTGAAAATTTACGGCCACACACGCACACGCACACACAGCCAACTCATAAGCACTTGATGGATTAGAGAGGTTGTGGTTGTGTCCAGGTTTTCGATTGGATGCCTGCCACTTGCTGCTTCGGAAATGTTTACGCCGCGGCGCCCGAAAATAGTTTCTTTCGGCTTTTAATAGTCGTATTATTTATTATTTATTGATTTGTGCAAAAACCCAATGCCAACAGCCAAAACCGTAGACCATTAAGCGCTTTTAGCCAATACATAAATCCATTTGTATATAATAAATAACACTCTTCATCTAGTATATAGTATATTATATAGTAGCTATGTATATATCGTGTGTGTGTGTGTGTGTGCATGGGCATGCAGTTCCACTAATCTGAGACCCCGAAACACCCCCGAACACACACACATCGTACACCTCGATTAATTACTTGCTAATGGAATTCTTTCGCCTGCTTTCTTCATAAATATAGCACGCGATCTGGAATCGGATTCGGAACCGTTCGAGGAGCGAGAGCCATCCCGCACGGTGGTCAAGTTCTCGGAAGAGGCCACCCAGGAGAGGGACACGCCCTTCGTGCGCCAGAACACGCCGCATCCCAAGGATCTCAAGGCCAAGGCGCAAAAGCTGAAGGTGGAGCGCAGTCGCCACGAGGAGCATGCCAATCTGGTGACGCTGCCAGAGGAGGTGAGTGTTTAGGATCCATAATTGTGTATCTATCAGTAATCGGCATGACTCTAGTGTATATATGACACTCATTTGTGGCATAAACCACATATTGATCGTGTGATTAATACATTTACTTAGTCATAACGATATGGGGTGGGGGGTCATCAACCTTCGGCATTCGTTTCAAAAGTAAGGGAAAGTATTTATTTTTTTATATTTTCAAGCGAAAATTGTATAGATCTTTATAAATATATGGAAATATATTAGATTTAATCAACAATTTTGAGCGATAGTGTTCCTTAGATCAAATCTCTCCTGGGTATTGCCCTTAATTGTTTAGTCAGAGCAATGAAACAGCGCCCAAGCGTGTGGGAAGGAATTATCTGCGTATCCACCAATTTTCATATCTTTTCGATTGTGTATAGCAAAGTTATAAAGATTTCAATTGAATCAAAATCGTATAGCCCCTAAAATCTACATTTGATGCATGTATGTAACACGAGACACCTTCTACATACTAACGACAATTCGATCTAGCGACACCAGCTGGCGCCTTTAGGTTTCAACATTCTACATGTATTTTACACGTCTTATACATGTCTCAGTTGCTACATGTATAACCATGCACATTTTACTTATATTATACTTTTAAGCTACATCTACTGTATTTATTTTCCCTTTGTAGAATGGCACCAAAGTAGCGGAGACACCAACCGAGACGCGCACCCTGGCAAATAATCACCAACAGGCGCCACCGCAGCCAGTGCAGCCACCGGTCGTTGGTGTAAATTCCAAGCAGACCTCCTCCAACAACAGCATTCCAACAGGTGCCCCTGCAGCACCTGCCGCAGACAACAACAGCAGCAAAGGCAGCAGCCACAACAACACAAAGGCGGCAGCCCCAGCAGCTGTTGTTGAGATTGTGGCGGCAGCTGCAACGGTGGCCGCAGCCTCCGAAGATGTGCCGGACGACGAAGAGCAGGAAGATGAATTCGTAAGTTTAGAAAGGGCCTTTCTGTTATTCTCTGTAATCGTTTGTAATTACCCGCTCTACCAGGAATCCGATCGCCGTGTGGGCTTTCAGGTGGAGGGCGAGGACGATGACTTTTACAAACGTCCACCGAAACTCCACAGAAGGTAAGAGAGGGGGGAGGGAAACCCCCACTGCATTTCCCCCGACTAAAACTAATTTATATTCTTGTAATCTCCAGGGACACTCCCCATCATTTGAAGAACAAACGCGTTCAGCATTTAACCGACAAGCAGGCCAACGAAATACTGGCCAATGCCTTGGCCACCCAGGAACGCAACGAAACCCCCACACCGCCGCACTCATCGCTGGGCAAAGTGACGTCGCCCATTGAGGAGGAGGAGAACGCCGATATCGATGTCGATTCCGAGGGGCAAGAGTCACAGTCCCAGACCCAGCATCCATTCGACGTCTCCCTATCGCCCATACCCATACCCATACCCACTAACAAGACAAAGGAGGGAGGGACACAAGGTAAATATCAAAATAGTTCTAATTAATTAAATCTACAATACATGTACATATTACTGCCTCCACAAGCAGTGCAGTACAGTGCCCTGATGAGTGCTTCATTGACTGGGAAATCGATATGGGAAGGAGAGGAGGGGCTGGGGTCCAGTGACCAGTGACCAGTGACCAGTAATTTCCACTCATTTTGCATCAGAGGCTAAAGTGGAAATATAATCATAAAGAAACAAAAACCACAGAAAGAGAGAGAGAGCCACCCATATGAACCCTTTTAGATGTGGCTCTTTCCTGCATCCCACAAACACATATCTTCATAGATATAAATGTAAATGTCGGTCTAGGCCTTTCAATGGCTTGTACTTCCTATGTCCGCCGTCCGACGTTAATTATATCAACAAACAACAAAAAAAAAAGAGGAATAAAAAATAGTGGGAGAGAGACGACGATTAAAAGCGCGTTACGACAGTGCGACAGGTGTGGAGAGACGCCCCCCGCTTGGGCTCTGGCTCGGGGCTTGTGCAACACACGCAGACACGCAACAGGCAGAAAAACTTGGCCTATAAATAGGCCTTGCACGTAGTTTTACACTAACACGCACACCATCACAGGGGCAGGGGCAGTGGCAGGGGCAGGGGCAGTGGCAGGTAGGGCTTATCAGCCAGCGATATCTGTTTGCTGGCTTGCAAAAGCTGATAACAAAACACAACACAAAAAAAAAGAACAGCTACAAGCCCACGGCAGGGTGCAATGCAATAATAGAGGAACCCTAGAGATAAAAGAACGAAGAACAGCGGACAAAAACAGTGCAAACTTCACTCGGAAGAGCGGTAAACAGGCAGAGCACAAAGAACAGAGAACAGAGAGAGAGAGAGAGAGAGAGAGAAGACGAGGCCAGAGAGCACTCGATGGGCAAGAAGTACGAAAAAAATACACTATAAAAGGGTGGATAACGACTAGGGAGTACCTATTACTGAGGGAATCAGCGAGCAATCCATTTCGAATGGGCTGAAAAGATGGGGAAATTGTAGAGAAGGGAACCTCCTTGGGTTAGTTAAGTAGATAATAGCTGTGTATGTAATAGATGCAACTATGAGTGCCATATCTTTAAAATTGTTGAAACCACAGCTCCACAAAGTGCTGGCCCTCGATACACAGCTGTTCAAACAGACATTCAATTAGTTTAAGATTGAAAGAGTATCTACAGCCATACCCTCGTTCCACCCACACTTTCCAGGGTACTGGGGGGGAAAAAAAACTGTTTAAATGAAACTGAAATGAGTCGCCGCCTTATTATGGCCAGTACCCGAGTGCCGCCGCCTACCTGTACATAGAGAGCGCACAGCAAGAAAGAGTGACTAAGAGAGAGAGGGAGAGAGAGAGACTGATGCCGGAGAGCGACTGATTGCATTTGCCATTGAGTGGGGGCCACTCTGCCTGCGGCCTGCGGCCTGGGGCTTGGGGCTTGGGGCCTGGGGCACTTGGCCCACTCTGCCCGGACGCCTGCTTTAGTCATTTTTCAGTTACGCTTGCGTTTTGTCAACGTCGCGAGAGACGCGCACCGCACCGCACCGTTTCGCTGCTAATTTGTTGAACTTAACTTTTATTATTGTTTCAAAAGAGCGGCATAAACAATAGCCATTGAATTAACAATAGCTGAAGTTGCATTTACTTCGCACAGAACTTCACTTTCGCAGCAGTACGCCTTGAGACACCTGACTCATCGACGGAGAAGGCCAGACCCCAAAAAAATAAGCATTTCTCAAGAGAAAGAGAGGGAGAGAGAGAGAGAGAGAGTGTGTGAAATGCTTCTTTTTCTGTGTCTGCCTTCCGACGTGTGAATATCGATTTTTGTTTGGTTTTTCGTCCGGTCTGGATTGTCTGGAAAGTTTCTCGCATTGCGCATACGCGGCGTATGCCTCAAATTGAATTTCAAACTGCAAATTTGCCGCGGCAAATGCAAGGCCCTTCAAGGTTGCCCCCCTCCCGCTTGCCACCGGAAAAAGCCAAGTGCACACTCCTTGCAGGAGCCCTATTTGCATTCGGGGTCTGTCAGGCATACTCCCGAAAATGAGCTACTTGAAAGTAAATTTAGTCTTGTTTACACAGAGGAGAGGAGGCATCCCTCAATGCTGGGATTCTCACACTATCACACTATCACACTGTAGCTCTGCTGCTCTGCTGCTCTGTTGGATATTTGCAGATGACAAATATCGGAAAGTGCTCGGTCGGGTTCTGTGTGCATATCCGGTTTACCCCGGAATTTCCCTTTCCTTTTCGATGTGCGCCAGCACAGATTTTTCTGGCTAGATATATTGGCAAACGACACGGCCACGGCTACGGCAATACAATCAACATTTGCACAATTCCTTTGGCATTCCTTTTGCCGGCTGCGAAGGCAAACAATAAGCTGCACATTTCCTTCCTTAAAGCGAAAACGTTGTGGGCTTCTGGGTCCTGGGATGCATCTTGGCCAATAAATAATACCATTGATAAGCTCAAGGCAATGGCATTCATTATTTATGTATTGTGTATCGTTGATTGCATCGGATTCTTATTGAATTTTTGCTGCCGCTCCTTCTGTTTGTTCTGTTTGTTCTGTTTTGCTTGCACCCTTTCATCACACATCATTGTTGCGTGTGGCAGCCCCAGCACAGTCCCTGCCTGTGTAAATAACAATTTAAACTATTTGCTCTGTTGTGGCCCAAACAAAAGCGCAATTCTATTGCTGGTCTGGCCCAAAAATATTGTTCAAGTTTTCGGCTCACGGGCCTTGGGGGCATTTCACAGTTGCATGCAAAGTTTAACGCTTTAAACGGGGGCGGGGGCGGGGGAGGGGGTAACTGTCTTCCTCCCGATTTGTGACAGCTTTCCCCCCTTCCCCCCCCAAAGCCCATTTTCTCGTTTGCGCGACAAAAACAAACAAAAATGCAATAAATGCCAGCTACAGAACGAGTGAGAGATACAGCAAGAGATCCAGAAATAGTGAGAGGGAGGGAGGGAGGGGGGGGGATGGAGAGACGGTTAGGTCAAAGAATTTTGCATAGCATTTTCCAATATTTCCCGCCGCCATGTTGATAGCAGTACGGAAAATGTGGAAAATTCGCGTAATTGCCGAGCAAACCGACTGCAACAGCAACAGGAAGCAGCAACATGCGGCCGCCTGTGGCAAGTGGCAATAGCAATCAACATGGCACCCAGAGGGACAATCAGTCTGCCACCCCGCCCCCCCTCCCGACTCCAGAATGCCATGATATCATCCAACAGAGTTCTCTATAAACACGTTAATCAGCCAACAGTTCGCACACGATTTCTAGTAGGTTTTCAACACAACCCCCCCCCCCCCCCCCCCCAGCTGTATATCCCGATACGACAGGTGGACCAAGGTCATTACCTGCCCTGCCACTTGACTGTGCCCCTTGTAATGCTTTCATGTGTCCAAAAATACGTGTATGTCGTAATGATTCACAAAGTTCTACATACAATCCATATCGCTTTGTTTTTGGTCTACGCGTCGCGTCAGAGGTGTTTGTTTTTTTTTATCTCCCCCAACTCCCCTTTTATTTTGGCTCTTATCGCAACATGAAGGAAGCTTAGGCATTCCGAAAGTGGCGATAAGATAGGACACCCCTCTATTCGTGGGGCAATACTCGTAGGGGTGGTGTTTCTCTCACGTTCACGCCTGAATGGCAATATGTATCCTTTCGCTTAGGGGACATTTGTACCGGAATATCCTCTAGTGAAACGGAGGGTCTCCCTCCGCCCCTCCAAATTTGATTGAGGGTCAGATTGTGATTGTTTTTTTCCGCCGTTTTGTTTTGATGGTGGCATAAAAACTTTGTTCATTAATTTTTGTCGCCACATTTAAGCGGCATAGCCGCATTGTTGATGTTTCAAAGCTTAACACTTGCAATTTGTCAACCGCGGCATGCCCCAACACTAGTCCCCGACCAACCTGAACTGCAATTAATCACGGAGCTCTGCTCTGACCTTTCCCCCCCCGGCCATAACTCGGGCATTTTTCACAGCAGACGCAGCAGCTCACGTGGCCCCATCGATGGGTCTGAGGGCAGCGACGGATCTATGGGAAGATGGCGCTCTTTAAGTCGCTTTATATGCCCTGGAATACTTGATCTTGTGTTCAATGATAATTAAAATCGATTGAATCGATACGGTCATTGCCTCAAAGCAGGGCCCGACAGTGGGGGGGCAAATGTATTCCGGCATCGGCATAAACGAAGACAGAAAAGTTGTTTGTGTGCCTCAAAAGTTTCCGTGCCACTTGTCCAAACGAATATGTCATGGATGAGTCGGAGACGGAGCCGCAGGAGGACTGGCGCTGTCATTTCTTGGCCACAGACGACTGCGGTGATGCGAAATATGATTTGTGCTGCTGGCTTTTGGCATGTGTCCAGACGACTGTCTGCTAATTTACCAGGGCCAACAGGGGAGTGGAGTCCTCTCCCTCCAGGTCGCATTTACATATAGATGACAAAAAAAAAAAAACCGGAGAAGGGACAACATTGATTTGGAATTTGCCATACACCAGAGATACAGCAACAGAGATACAGACTCCCAGATACATATGCGAATGCGAATGCTAATGCATTCGGGGAATCTCCATCATAATCATCATCACCTTCTCGTGCTGGAGCTCCCCCTCACCCCAACATTTTATGTCTCTCCTCATCTTTTGGCGTATTTAAATTTTTATATGCTTTATGCCATTTCTTTTACGCGGGTATTACTTTTGGGAGAGGACACATCACGGCCACGGATGTCATCGTAAAATGGTTAAATGTCTGCTTAAGTGGCTGCCACACGGAAAGAGAGAGAGAGAGTTGCTGCCACAAATGAGTGATAACCAAATATGTGGCTTGCGTTGCTGCTGTACTTGTAGTGGCTGTACCTTTTCCTTAAATACAGTCCTGGAACCCACACACACGGCATGGCTTGGCACGGCACGTGTCCTCCTCTTGCCACATGGAAACACAAATCTTATTTTGTTTTATGGCATTCCCCCCTCGGGTTATTGTTGACCCTGGCTCCACTTACAGGCCAAAGAAAAGCCTGAAAAGATGGCAAAATGAAGCCAACGCATTCCATATGTGGGTGCGGGTGTGTGGCTTGTCCTGCAAATCCATAAAGAATGTCCTTCCGTTCGTCCGAGAATATGAGGGAATCAAACATAAAAGACGAGGAAAGGAAGGACTATCTTTAGGAATAAGGGCTGTTGATATCCTGGAACAGCCGTTGTGTATAGAAAGGAAGAAATTATCTTTTGAGGCTGATATTCATGGCTTCTATTTCTCAATGAAATGCCAAGGAGAATGCCCGAGCATGCAAAAACAAAATATAGCCGAGATGGAGATCGGGGACTGGGGACTTGGAATGCAAAAACAACATACATACAGTGTGCGGGACGAGGCATACTGATGCTGGACTCGAGAGGCACTAGCTAATGATGCAACAACGTACATGTCGTGTACATGACGCGGCACATTTATGCTCCATTCAAGTCTCGCTGATAAGGATTTGTAGTCGTTCTTGGGCCACTGCCTCCTCTACAACTACTCTTTCTTTCTGCATTGAAAACATAGGCATACGAAACTCATACCACCCCCTTTACAGGGTACAAAAACACACGCACACAAAAGGACATACATAAATTTTCCTCTTGTGCATTTATACACAATTTAATGAAACACCTTTTGCTGGTAAATTTACGAGAATTATGATGCGTAAAGTACTCGTATACAAATCTCAAGAATATGCTCGTAAATATATTTCGCTCAACTTGTCAAACTCAATAAGGAATCGCATTGTAATCGAATTGAAATCGATTTGATGCCAAAGAGGAGGAAGGAGACGGAGAAGGAGACTGAAAGCCAACAAAATTAAAGTCTTCGACTCCGACGATGGCAGGAAAAGGCAGAGACGGACTTCTCTTTGGGTTTTCTTTGGAATTATACTTTGATTAACATGAAGAAAAAACAACTCGCATACAATTACAAACAGAAATTGTCTGTTACTTTTACTTTTGTCAACTGTCTGGCTGTCTCTTTCGACTTTTTATGGCGTCCTTGAGAGTTGCCAAAAAGAAAGTGCCGACGGATTTATTGAGTGCAAATCATGAGCTACCAGGGAGGCTCGCAGGCCCAACCTCTTGCCCCACGACCCACCTGTGCGGTGGGGCCTCTGCTGTCTGGGACAGCATTTTGATGCTCCCGCCTCCACCCTGAAAAGTCGAGTGTCTGTTTATTTATTAAATAATTATTCAAACTCGTTGTATCGTCGGTCATTCGGAGGTGGGAAAGTTCTCTCTCCCCCCTATTCCCACCCCCATCCCCATCGCAAGGTCGTTGGTTTTATGTCTGTTTTCTAGTCTCTTTTCGGCAGCGGTTCATTGACTGCCGTGTTTATGGCCAAGTGGCAGATGCTTGGGCCAACTTTTTTGGGGCCATTTGAATATCATTAAAGCGCAAATTTATGCCAGGCCCAAATCTATCCAAATGGGTGTTTTTGTCGGTTTAAATTTGATTAAATCGAGCTAATTTCCAGGGCATGGGACGGAGGGGGAGTTTTCTATGCCACTGCACACGAGCAGATGAGTTGCAAGCAGTAGATGGTGCATGCACCAGATCGATAGCCAAACAAAGTTTCGTTTAGTTTTTGAGCATATTAAAAAGTGCAGTGAAATAAAAAATAGGTTCTTGCCTCCCCCCCCCACACTCCACAGGCGCTTCAAAGATGCTGCTGCTATCATATTAAAAAGTGCACTCAAATATATATAAAACAAAAACAAAATGTTCAATGTCAAAATCAAAGTCAAAGAGGGTAACAATACCCTGCCACGAAATGGCCAGAAGAGCAATGGAAACGGCAATGGGAGCCACTTTGGGGGCTACTCGGGAGCGGGCAGTGGCAGGAACAGCCCCGCGATGAGCAGCCTTCGCAGCTCCCTGGCCTCCTCGAACCGCAGTCCCATGGGCTCCCTTCAGAGGAAGGGGAAACGAGTGCGCATCGTCACCAGCTATGATCCCGTGAATAGGGATTACGCGGAAAGGCAGCGACAGCACTACGGTAGCCAGCGAGCGAGAGATCATCCTCACCATTTAAGCACCATTTAAACGTTGTCTCCCTTTGTCCCTTTTATTTGCAGATAACTTGGATGGCGTCACGGAGCTGCGTTTGGAGCAGTACGAGATCCACATTGAGCGCACGGCGGCGGGACTCGGCTTGAGCATTGCCGGTGGCAAGGGATCCACACCGTTCAAGGGCGACGACGACGGCATCTTCATATCGCGCGTCACCGAGGCGGGACCCGCCGACCTGGCCGGCCTCAAAGTCGGCGACAAAGTGCTCAAGGTCAATGGGATTGTCGTGGTCGAGGCGGACCACTATCAGGCGGTGCAGGTGCTCAAGGCCTGCGGCGCTGTCCTCGTGCTGGTGGTGCAGCGTGAGGTGACGCGTCTGATTGGACATCCGGTGTTCAGCGAGGACGGCAGTGTGTCACAGATCTCCGTGGAGACGCGTCCTCTGGTGGCCACAGAGGTGCCACAGTCGCAGCAAGAGAGATACATTCCAGCGCCCATCGAGATAATGCCCCACCAGCAGCAACAGCAGCAGCAGCAGCAGTTCCAGCAGCCACAACAGATGCTGCAGCAGCCTGTAGTCCAGCAAATGGTGGCTCCGGCGCATGGCTATTCCGCTAATGTGTTTGCCACACCCCCAGCTGTACAGAGCATCGTGGAGCCGGCCCCCAATGGCCTGCTACCGAATGGCAGGGTGTGTATCGCATAATTTCCTAGCATTCGCTCACTCGCGATTGATTTCTGTGTTGAATCCTTGCAGGAAGCTGCTCCGTTGAGCTACATCCAGCTGCACACGACGCTGATACGCGATCAAATTGGCCAGGGACTGGGCTTCAGCATTGCCGGGGGCAAGGGCTCGCCACCGTTCAAGGACGATTGCGATGGCATTTTCATATCACGCATCACGGAGGGCGGACTGGCGCATCGCGATGGCAAAATCATGGTCGGCGACCGGGTGATGGCGGTAAGTAGGGGTCTAGGCTTAGGGTCGGTCTTCCGACACGTGCTAATGGCATTTCGTTGTACCATCCGATGCGCAGATTAACGGCAACGATATGACGGAGGCGCATCACGATGCGGCCGTGGCCTGCCTCACCGAGCCGCAGCGCTTTGTGCGGCTCGTCCTGCAGCGCGAGTACCGCGGCCCCCTAGAGCCGCCCACAAGTCCGCGCAGTCCCGCCGTACTCAACTCGTTGAGTCCATCCGGCTATCTGGCCAATCGTCCAGGTTAGTGCGCCTCCTCCTCCGGATATCCCCCTGCCCCCCTGCCCCCCTGCCCCCCTGCGCGTTGATTAACCGACATTTTCCTGTTTTCCTGCAGCCAACTTCCAGCGGTCTGCGGGCGATGTCAGTTACGTCGAGCAGCCGTACAAGTACAACACATTGGCCACCACCACACCCACCACACTTGCATCCGCAGCTGTGGCACCTGTGGCACCTGTGGCAGCCAACAACAACAATAACAACACGCTGCCAAGCAGCAAAACGAATGGATTTGGTGCTGCCGCCGGCACTGCGATAGTGCTGGACAAGACGACGGGCCAGCCAGTGCCCGCCCCGAGGCGCACCAATTCCGTGCCCATGGGGGACGCAGAGAGTGTGGCGCCCAATGGGGCGGCCTCCACCGCCAGCGGTGATTCGGGCGAGGCTCAGGTAAGGAAACCAGGGACACCATTAGCCCTAACTCTTAGTCTTCCGTTTAGCTGCATTGCACGTCATTCTCAATGTTCTTGTCCATAAGATCGTTTTTCGGTAGACTTAAGAGCCCCCCCCACCCCCCTGCCCCCCTTTAGGGAAAGAAACCTGCGCTGCAGTTGAACACCTATTATTTATTGAACAGAGAAGTGATTCCTTCGAAGGTAAGTCGTATTGGGAAACCTAAGGAACTGCAGCGCAGGTCTTCGAATCGCACGCAAATTGTTGTTGATATTTTGCGCAAAAAAAAAAGAAAGAATGAAATCAATGGAAACATGAAACATGAACACAACACCCTATATTGTAGATCCTAAGTTAATATCTAATTGTGCTAATCCATTTATCCGCCAGATTATCCATAACCCCATAGAACTCCTAGAACTCTCCTATCGATATGCTCTCCTCATCCCTCGTACTCGTCTAATGGATTTGTATGTGTTTTGTTTTGCATGTGCCCCCCTTGTGCGCCCCCTGCCTTGTGTTTTGTCTGTACTGTACCTCCCCCGCCCCCACCCCAAAAAACATCATTCTATAGCTCCAGATACATGACACATAACCATATATCTTATAGCTTAAGTTCTGCACTGATTTGTATGTGTGTTCTCTGTCCCCCCGGCTTGAATGCACCTCAAAATACAAAAAAAAAGAAGGCCAGAGTTTTCCCCTAGAGGATTGTATATACAATATATCATCCAATATATAATATAACATACGTATATCGTGTTAGCAAAGATTATAGAACACATAGATGAGCCCTTCCCATTCAAAAAGTAAACGAAAAACAGGCCTGATATAAGGAAGAAATCATCATCTATGCAGTTCTCTAATCTCTGGCTTGGGGCAGCTTAGCTTAGCTTAGATTATAGATAAAGTAGAGCATCCATCCAAAATTTACAAAAAAAAAATCAACATATTTTTGTTTTTCTTTTTCTCTAAATCCACACCGACCCAAAAAAATTGCCTAAAACTATTTTGATTATTCCGAAAAAAACCACAAAAAAAAAAAAAAAAAAAAAAAAAAACTGAAACCCCACCGTAAAACCCATCGATACCCGATACCGAGCAGTCCTCCTCGTTGCGACCGCTGACCAGCGATGATTTTCAGGCGATGATACCGGCCCACTTCCTCAGCGGCGGCAGTCAGCATCAGGTGCATGTGGCACGGCCCAATGAGGTGGGCGTCAGCGCTGTAACGGTGAATGTGAACAAGCCGCAGCCCGACCTGCCCATGTTCCCGGCAGCGCCCACCGAACTGGGGAAAGTCACCGAGACCATCACCAAGTCCACGTTCACGGAGACGGTGATGACGCGCATCACCGACAATCAGCTGGCGGAGCCCCTGATCAGTGAGGTGACTATCTCCACATCACGCTTACACTAGAGCCCACATAGCCCACCCAGAGCCAGACCCACCGCCAAGAGACCGCCAACCTCCACCCTCCACCAAAGTGTTAACGAATCGTTGTGTAAACCTGCCCCACAAAACAGTAGCGGTTCAGCGGTACAGCGGTACAGCGGCAGAACAGCAGTTCATTCCGAGCTTTCTCTGTTGCCACAAACACACACATGCCACCTGCACCCACCCCCAAACCTGCACTCAAGTCTCCACACAATGCACCTTCACAATGAATCGAAAACGAAATGTTTATTGAAATTTATAATTTAATAATTCTACACTGCAATATTGGCACTCGATTAAGCGATGCATTTGGTTAATAAATATTCTTGTGCGTTTTGCAAAACGATTTGATTTAACTGTTGGTCCGAGTGGTCCACCCACATCCCACATCCACAACCAATAATGGATTGGAGGACGAGGTTGCGCTTACACTACGTTTCATGCAAAACATGCACCCTCTGCCACACACACTCACACGAGAGCTGTGAGACTGCTTCGATGACTAATTTGAGTAGCATTTGAGACTGGAAGCGGGAATTGGAAATGGATATCAATGAAATGGTTATGGTTATGGAAGGGACAGCCTATAGTCATAATTATTAATCGATTAATCACTTGAAAGGAAACCTACTTTTGCATGCAATCAATCATTTTCTGTACTTAAAATTTAACAACTAAAAAAAATACACTAAATATTCTACTACTCTACTAACCAACATTTTATATATAAATATAATTCCCTAATGAACAAACCATGTTTTTAATGTTTCCCTCCTAAAAAAAAAAAAGAGTGGCTGGAAAAGGCTCTCTCTTGAGCACTTGAATATTTAGTGTCTTTTTTTTTTCTTTGGCTGTAACTGAATCCGTTTCAAGTGACGGGCCAAAGCGCCTTCGCTTTTGAACGGCAGAATGGTTTACACACTCACACTCCTCTATATCCTCCTCCTCCACAGAAAGCCACTCGAGTGTCATCGTTGACATGAAGCAAATCCCGGCAAGAAATCTCTCCCTCTCTCTCTCTGTGTGCGTGGGTGTGTGTGTGTGTGTGTGTGGCACAAGCTTTGTCACTTTGCCACTTGCTGCATAAATAAGTAAAGCAGAAAACTATGCAACATGCAAACGTGTTTAAATAATATACGAATGAAAAACTACTAGAGACCAGAGTCTCGAGCCCCGAAAAGAGATTTACTCTAAATGCCTCAACTGCAGATTTATTTCTCCCGGTTGTTCGCTCATCCAGAGCATCAGCCCATAAGTAAACTTTAAATATTTCTGTTTGCTTTCACAATCTGCTGGCTTTCTGTCTGTCTGTCTGTCTGTCTGTCTGTCTGTCTGTCGGTCTGTGGTGTGCAAACCCTGATGCCGCTGCTGGCATTCGAGCAAATGTTATATCAAATATTTAATTGTTTTTAATTTCCATGGCTGCCCTGCTGGCCGGCGGCTTCGAACTCTTAAGAATTCAATTTGTTGCCAGAGTTAATTGATAACAGTTTGCTGTTGCATGCCACATACATGCGCAAGACTTCACACGCATCTTGACAGGAGTGGAGTTTTGTTTGATTGCCAGGGCCAGGCGGGTGCCGGGCCTCTTGTTTTGATATTTTAATATCTCAGTGCTCAGGATTTGAACGAACCGCAGGTCCGCCCGCAAAGTCCCTTTGTGTGGGAATGGCCTCTCGGAATCGGACTAATAAAACTGCAAAAAGGAGAGAGCTCTCTGCTCTCTGCTCTCTGGTCTGCTCTGCCATTTAATCTAATGTTAAGTTATTCATAAGCCAAAGGTTATTCATTATTTATTAAATTATTACTCACTTTCCGGTATTAAATGTTTGTTTAATGAATGCTCTCTCTGTTCTGTTATGGGTTTCTTGATGGTTTCCTTCCTTCCTTTTTTGTTTTTTGTTTTGGTATCTGGTGTCTGTTTTGTTTGTTATGTTTTTATGTCTCCCGGAAAATAAATGATTGAAATTCCATGTAAATATCACCAACAATTTTGCACACACATCTCACATTCATTCGACACTCACCGACATACATATAAGCACGCACGCGCACCCCAGCATCATACACGGCAGTCCTTTTAGGGTTTCTAGAGTTATATCCATACCATTCTGAAGACCTGCTAATCGGGTTACTCTATTGTTTCCACAGGAGGTTGTACTGCCCAAGAATCAGGGCTCGCTGGGCTTCAGCATCATCGGCGGCACGGATCATTCCTGTGTGCCGTTCGGCAATCGTGAGCCCGGCATCTTCATTTCACACGTAAGTAGATGAAAGGGTAACCCTTGGAGAAACTTTTACTAAGCCGAAAAAACACACACCCACAGATTGTGCCTGGTGGCATTGCCTCAAAGTGCGGCAAGCTGAGGATGGGCGATCGTATACTGAAGGTGAACGATGCGGATGTGTCCAAGGCAACGCATCAGGATGCGGTCCTGGAGCTACTGAAGCCCGGAGATGACATCAAACTGACCATACAGCACGATCCACTGCCACCTGGTTTCCAAGTGAGTTCTTTGGCTTTCTTTCAATCTTTAGTACGTACTTGTATATAAGCTTTGAGTCACTGTTTCTTCTTCACTCAACTTGTACTTCTTATTGTTATTGTACTCTGCAAACAAAACGCTTTCACACGAAATTATGTATATCGCACAGAAAATTGAAGTAGAGTATGTAAAGACCGAGGTAAGCCCTTGCTCACGACACAAAGAGCTCCTCCTTGTCCCTCCCTCTGCAGAACAAAAACAAATATTACTTGCATTAACATTTCAATTAGCCAAATGCCTTCCATAGTTTAAGTTCCCCCGTTCCCGCTCCGCCCAATCCATCCTCTGCATTGTTTTAGCCATCACCGTTAGCCACTTGATTGTTACGGCCAAGTCCTTGCCGGTCCTTGCTAATTTCCCCGTTTCTTTGCTAATTTGTGAATCACAGGAAGTTCTCCTGAGCAAGGCCGAGAACGAGCGCCTGGGCATGCACATCAAGGGCGGCCTCAACGGACAGCGCGGTAATCCCGGGGATCCCTCCGACGAGGGTGTGTTCGTCTCCAAAATCAACTCTGTGGGCGCCGCCAGACGCGACGGAAGGCTTAAGGTAACACGTTGTGTGCCACACACCATTGTTGTCTGGCGTGGCATGAACTTAATCGAAACTTTCTTTGCTTGTGTGCGCGCGTGTGCGGCTGCAGGTGGGCATGCGGCTGCTGGAGGTTAACGGACACTCCCTGCTGGGTGCCTCGCATCAGGATGCGGTCAATGTCTTGAGGAACGCCGGCAACGAGATCCAGTTGGTTGTCTGCAAGGGCTACGACAAATCCAATTTAATTCATTCCATCGGCCAGGCGGGCGGCATGAGCACCGGATTCAACTCCTCTGCATCCTGCAGCGGTGGCAGTCGTCAAGGTAACGTAACCCACCATAATCCTTGGCTTTAAGCCTCCTCCTCCTTCACTCACTTTGCATTCTGTTTGTTTCGTTTGGTTCCGTTCCTCAAGGCTCTCGCGCCTCGGAAACGGGCTCGGAGCTCAGTCAAAGTCAGAGCGTATCCAGTTTGGATCACGAAGAGGATGAGCGACTGCGACAGGTGAGTGTTGCCCTGCCTTCCATCTTAAAGCGCACGAACTTTACCCTCTCCCTTGCGCAGGACTTTGACGTGTTTGCCACACAGAAGGTGGTGGAGTCCGAGGCGGAGCCAACGAGTCAGACGGGTCTGGCAGCTGCTGCTGCCCTGGTGCATGGCGCCCCATCGCCCGTACCCACCACACCTACGCCGCCTGCGGCAGCCGCTGACTTGGCACCGCCAGCGGACACAACAGCCGCCCAGACCGTGGCGCTTATTCACGCAGAACAGGCCCACCAGCAGCAGCAGCAGCAGCAGCCGCAGACGCAGTTGGCGCCGTTGGGTCAGGAGAAGAGCACCCAGGAGAAGGTTAGTCCGGTCGTCTCCTTCGCCTCTCCTTCCCTCTTTGGGCAGCCCAAAAATTAATGTGACTTGTTTCGATTCGCAAATCAGGTGCTGGAAATTGTACGCGCCGCAGACGCCTTCACCGCTGTGCCACCGAAATCCCCGTCCGAGCACCATGAACAGGATAAAATACAAAAGACGACGACGGTTGTCATATCGAAGCATACGCTCGACACGAATCCAACCACACCGACAACGCCGTCAGCGCCGTCAGCACTCCCGCCCATTGGCTCTGCAGCGGAGTCAGTGACCGCAGTTGCCCCTGGAGCTGCCGCCGTGCCAGCTCCCACTACCACTACCACTCCCACGCCCACGCCCACTCCCACACCTGCTCCAGTGCCCGCTGTGGCTGTGCAGACGCAGACCCCCTCCGAGGACAAGGATGAGGCGGAGCTGGTGCTACAGGTATGTACCCAAACGACGAGTGACTGCCTGCACGTCTTGTGTCTGTTGCCTTGGCTTTAATATCTGTATGTGTATGTGTCTGTGTATGTCTGTGTACATCCCTCCCGATCGTATGTTTCTTGTTTCTGTTGTGCGTTTGTGTCTCTCCCTCTCCCTCTGCCTCTGCCTTTTTGATTTACTTTTCCCTTGTAACTTTCCTAACATGAACCGACAGTCGCCATTCAATCCCCTACACATACCTGTACCCCAAAAGAAAAACCTCACGAATCTTTTAACTTGATTTCGTACTTTTCTGTTTGCTTGTTTCTGTGTAACTCCCACTAATGCCCCTGTCAATGATACTCGTATGCGTGCCGTTTTGTGTGTCTGTGTCCGTAACTGTTGTCTATACATATATTCGTATTTGTTGTTCAAAATTATACCATATAAATAAAAAAAAAAACAAAAAAAAACCGAATCATCATTGTTCTCTCATAATCACCACAAACCATAAAACAAACGATTCATTATTCTGTGAAATGAAAACAGTTTCCACTACTGTTTTCACAGCATGTTCTCTCTCTCTGTCACTCACTCACCCTTTGACCCATTAAAACATTACTAAAGTGTGACTAAAACGAGAGCACTTTCACGTACACTTTCTCCATGAAGCATTATCCATCGGTTGTCCATTTGTTTTTGCTGCTTTCTAGCTAAATGTGTTTTTGTGTTGCATTTGAATTAAAAGTGAATAAAAAAATCATTGCCTATCTCTTTGGGCCTGCCACAGGGGCGTATGAGTTATGTATGAGCCAGTCTGCCTGCCCGCCCCGCCTGCCACTGGGAGTCGGTTGCGAGATGATGCTGCCGCTGCTGCTCCCTCGTGGCGCTCGCGACCGACTCTGTGGGGGAGCTCTCCCCCTCTTTCTCACCTTTCCCGCATTTATTGATATGGCAGCAGACAATTTATTATTTATTAGCATATTGGAGCTGTTCCTTCGGCTGACGCGGGGCCTGATCATTGTTGTTGTTGTTGTTGTTGGTGTTATTTATGCTACTTTCATATTATATTCATTTTAGTTCCTTCCGTCTTTGTTCCATTGCGTGGGCACTCTTGTTATATCCCTTGCAGAGGGTATTATGATTTTGCATAGATTTGTGTACAATATATAGAAACAAGGAAAAAAAAGGAAGATATAGCCATGAGTGCCTGGAAGATACCAAAAATCGTTTTAAGAACTTGTAAAACCATTTATATTCAATGAGTTCCTACATAGTTATTCCAAAAATTATTAAAATCGGTTAACTATATCGGATAATTTTCAATCGGTAATTAAAAAAATGGAAAAATTTGTATCACTATATAATATAGTATAGAATTGTTGTTTATAGGGTGCATTGGATTTGTTTTTATTTTTTCTGAATATTTTAAATTTTTTATTAATAGTAATGTCTATCAAAATCGATCTATATCTATCAAAATCAGATGACTATATTTGATAGTATTTTCCCTTAAAAAGCAAACCTCTGCAAGGGTATCCAAGGTGTCTGCCTTCAAGATCTATCCTGTCCGTAGCCTGTTTTGATTGTGCCTTAATGTTTTCGTTGTTTGTAGCTTGTATAACTGGTTGCCGGCTTTAAAGCATGCCCCATTTGAAATTTGCATTGAAAGCAGTGTGCAAAAAAACAGAACAAAAAAAAAAGCTGAAATATATACGAATATACAAATACAAATACAAGTTAATATATATACCATCTCGCTATACGTACATATAATAAATGTATATGTAAATGTAAATAATTCAAAAACTGCAGAAGAAAATTTCCATTAAAATGTCTCTCTTATATCTTCTTCTCGTCCTTCTTCTTCTCATTCTTATACACTCTCCTCATTTCTCTCATTCTTACTCCTATATTGCGCTATCGTTCTCGTTCTCGTTCTGGCTCTGATTCTGATTCTGATGCTGGCTCTCGTTGGCTGCTTTTCAACAACAAACATATTTTCCCCTGGCATTTTCCGTTCTTGGGTTTTCCCCCGCCCCCCCCCCCCCCTTCAATCATTTTGCAATCTGAATTTCTGTTGGCTTTTTGTTTGTACTCGGTTGTTGTTGTTTTGTTGCTTTTTGGGTTCTTGCATTCGATTTTCATTGCAGCGTATTGCTTAACAAGCGGATGTTTATCACCAAAAGACTGAATATTTAGTTTAAACAAGCAAACAAACAGACAGACAGACAGACAGACAGACAGACAGACAAATATGCTAAAGGGAAAGGACGAGGACGAGGACGAGTACAAGGACAAACCCACAGATACAATTTGTATAAGATTCAGTGGAAAACCGAAAACAGAAACAACAAGAAGAGCGTCTGTCTTCGAGCGGCGCGTGTTCAAAGGGCCAAGAGTTACTACTTTCAGAATAGTAGGCAGTGTGTCTATATACATACATACAAACATATATGTATATATATGTATACTATATCGTGTATCTCCTCCGATTTTGAAATTCAATCAAAAACTGAATTCCCAAACGGTTTCAATGTCTCTCTCTCTCCCTCTCTCTCTGCCCCCTAAAACTACTGTTTATACCGAGCAAACAGATCTAAAAGGAAACCTCTGGAAAATGTCGCCATTTTGCGGCACAAAAAGTATTAAAAAAAAAAAACATATACACATGTACATTATAGTCTTTCGATGTTTGTACCAAAAGCTACTACTACACACACACAGATACTAAATACATATACATATACATATATTACTAAATGTGTAACAATGTGTGGAGAGCACACACAATACGGTCCAATTATGCAACTGAATAATACTCAAGAGGAAAACAAACCAATAAACCCGGAGGCAACAAAAGAGAAAACATTGTTATAGATCGTATACTACCTATCTATAAAACTAGGAAAAAAAGAGGATATTTTGTTAAAGGTATCAACTGTTAAAACCAGCAGGAATACTCGTTTGTTGGGGTTTTGTGTATGGTTTTCCCCCACGCCCACCCCGCCCACTTTCATTGTTACCTAATGATACGATAGTTACAGTTAAAACGATAGCTAAACGGAATTCAAAGTGTGCATTTTTGATGTGTCAATAAATCTTAATGTATTTGTCGTACGAAAAGAAATTGGGGATTGGTGGACTTTTACTTAGGATACGAGTTCTTTTCGTTAATTGAAAAAGTTTCTTATGATTTAGTGTTTTTTTTTTGCGCTTTTCTTTTGCCACATATGTGACGTTGTCGCTGCGTCTCTGTATCTGTATCTGTATCTGTATCTGTGACTATATCTGTATCTGTATCGCTGTTTTTGTGCATCGCATCGCTGATGTTTCGTCGAGTTCATCAACCTCATCATCAATGAAACCGAAAATTCGGCCAGAAGCGCGCAAACTCTCATTCATCATCAAAGCAGAAATCAGAAATCAGAAATCAGAAATCACTGGTAATTGGCTAATGGACTGCAGATGGCAGAGTGGTATTGGTATCCTCCTTCCCATCGCACAGACAATGAATAAAATCCAACGTACAGATATTTGTGTGTGCACCCAGCCCCAACAGCAGCCTGCCTCCAACAAAACCAACCATCAACACCCCACCCACAAAAACACACACACACACACACACACACAATCAAAGCACACACCTACCACTCACCCCACCAATTAACGTTGCACATTGCAGTCTGTGTTCAATGCTTGTGTGCGAAGAAGAAGACGGTGCACCTCTGACAAACATTAAAAAAAACAAAAAAAAACAAATAAAAACCCCAACTAAAATAAAGATATTTGAAAAACTAAATGAGAAATCCGAAAACTCCAAATAGCAACGTGGAACCCAGACGCCCGACCGCCTGGCCCCAGGTGCACGTTTCTCCTACCAGCAGATGCTGGAGCATCAGGAGGAGAGCCGGAACAGTGCAAAGGCCCAGTCAGAGAAGCCCAAGAAGGCCGAACCGGTGTACATCATCGATGATGAGGATGACGACGACGAAGGGGACGATGATGGCTCCCGTCAGCATCTGGACGACATTGACGCCATCGAAGAGGAGGACGAAGAGGAAGTGGAGAGCTCTCCGCCCCTGGATCTGCAGTCGCCACCTTCCTATGCGGAGTCCGACTCCGATTGCTTCGATCGTCGCCGGGGACGATACACCAGCGACTCGGAGAGCGACTGTCGACCGTACAAGCCTTCGAGATCGGGTCGCAGTACCCCAGAGTACGGTGGAGGGCATCGCAAGTCCGTGAGCTTTGACCTCAGCGGGGATGAGCGCTCCAGATCGGACTTCGAACGCTCGAGGTCCCGAACGCCGGATGGCTATACGCGGGCCTACGATTCCGAGCAGGATAGTCGAGGCAATTCGCGGAACCGACTGCCGCGGAAGGGCATCCTTCGGGCCACGAGCCCGTCCTCGTCGACCAGCTCCACCCTGGAGCGTCGTCCGGAGAAGGTGGCGCCCATTGTGCCGACTGTGGCACGCATCATAGAGGTGGAATCCCCGCAGGTGCAGCGCGTGTCGAGGGCCACTTCGCCGGAACGACCCGGGGAACTGGAGCGGGAGAATCCCTTCCGCCATACCCCCATAGAGGACGATGAGTACACGCAGATCGCCAAGGCAATCAACAGGTCTCCGCGGTCTCCGCGGTCACCCCGCTCCCCCCGGGATCAGTTCTTCTTCGGTTCCGCCCGCTCCAGCGAGGATCTGCTCGAGCAATCCTTTTCCAGTGGACGCAGCACCCCCAACACCGTGATATCCAAATCGACGGAGAACCTGACGGGCACGCGGCCGAAGGTGCCGCCCAAGCCGCAGGTGAAGAAGGCGGATCTGGTGCGAAACGTGGCCCTGGAGACGTTCCAGGCCAGCGATGTGGGCCAGGGGGACTTCACGGTGTTCGAGCACGACGCCAGCACCAACACCATCCATCCCGTGGGCGCCAAGGTGCCGGTGCGCGTGTCCACAAAGACGCCACCGCGGCCGCGTGAGAGTCCACCGCCGCCGCCCGTCAACTATTCCACCCTGCCAAAGATTCCGGTGCCCAGCACGCCCACGGTGCTGGAGGAGTCGCTGTATATGGAGGCCCTGCCACCGGTGCCACCCTCGCAGCGCCGTCCGCACGAGTTCGTGCACGAGAACTCGCCGGACAACATCCTGGTGACGCCGCAGGAGCATCGCGAGTATCTGCTGAGGGAGAACGAGCTGCGGAACCAGCTGCGGGCGCCCTACGATCCCGCGCCGCCCATACCCATTGCGGGCAGCGGGAGCGGCGGCTATGCGGTAACGAATCCCTTCCTAGATAGTTGCGACACTGACATTGACAGCCTGCCACTGCCACCACCGCCCACACCGCCCACCGAACAGGCAGCACCACCACAGCTACACCACTACCTCGAACACCAACAACACCACCACCACCACCCCACTCGTCATTTGCATGAGCCGCCTGCGCCACCACTAACCGCTGCCGCCACTAACGCATCAACGTCTCCATTTTCTTCCTCCGCCGCCGCCACCGCCACCGGCCGCCTTCTGATGGATGCCGCCTCGCGTTCGCCGCAACAGCTGCTGGTCGCCGGGCCGCCCACACAGATCTTTCCCACGGCCCAAATACTGCCCGTGCAGTATGCGAGTCTCCCGCAACCGCAACAGCCGAATACGCTTACATTGACACCGCCTCAGACCCAGACAAAGTCCCCGTCCCCGCCCCAGTCCCAGTCCCAGACACAGTCCCACCTCCAGAGTCCGCCCCAAACGCAGCCCATTTTCAACTTTGTGCTGCTGCCCGGCGACCAGGGTCAAGTGTCATCGCTCTACCTGCAATCGGTGCAGCAGAATCCGGTGAGTGAATCGAGTGGAAAGCCGCCCCAACAATTCCTGGCACCGCCCTCCAGCGCCTCCTCCTCGCCATCGCCCTCGTACACGGCAATGAAATTTCCCACATTCTCGGAAATTCTGGTCAGTCCCGACTCAAATAGCAATTACCAAAACATGACCACATCGCGCGCCGGCATATCCAACTCCTCGCTGGCCACCAGCAGCTCCTTCTCCGTCGACTCCTCCTCCACGTCGTCGCTGCAGACCAAGTCCTCAGCACCAGCCACTGGGGGTGGTGGTCTCTCCAGCTACTATGAGACGGCGGAGGAGATCTACTCGACCATTGAGGAGGCCATCTACAGTAATACCGCGTTCTTTGACTCGCGTCGCAGCAGCGACACCTCGCTCTCCTGCCGCGCCTCCAAGTCCCCCACGCCGCCCCCATTGCCGCCCAAGCGGCCACTGAAGCCGAACGTAGTGCGCACCGCACCGGCTCCCCCAGTGGCCCACAAGCCGCACGGACTCCGTGGCCTGGCCAGCTTCAAGCTGCGCTCCTCCCAATCCCAGCCGCAGTTGGAGGCACAGTCCTGGGCCCGGAGCCCGCTGCCGCATACTCCTACAACGCCCACAGGAAAAGAGACCACTGTGTAGATTGTGGCACATGCCAAGTGGTCTTTCAGAGGTTCTTTTAATTTCTCCAAGAGCACCCACCCTTCCATTCGAACAGCTCTGCCCCCGTTTTTTCCACTCCATTTCTTTGGGTTTCCCTCTCTCTTTTCTACACCATTTCTTTGGCTTTCTCTATCCACTATTTCTTCCTGTCACTGCTCATACATTTTAATTAAATTCTAGCACCTTTTCGCCATCAATTAAATGGGGCCCACCCCCAACCACAACCCCAATCATGGCAGTGAATGGGTTTCTCTTGTAGCACAATTTTCAATATTTTCGTTCGCCATTTAAATTGATTGATTTGTTGTTGGATTTCCCTGGCAGCACTTGCCCCAGGCGCCGCACCTTTCGAGCTAATTAGAATGCGAGTTTTTGTTGACTTTGACAATCAACCCAGCCCCCACCTAGCCCCAAGCCACATCCACGATAAAATTGCCCGCCCCCCTCAGAAAATTGCAGTTGAAATTGAGCAGCCGACCTGTCCGGCGCCCCCGCACTTTTTGGTCAGGTTTAATTTGACGTTGATTGAAACAGTTTTCGGTCGCCCGCCCCCCCAACTGCAGCTAAGTGCCACGCCCACTGGCCCATTAACTTTATGCCACCCCCTATTTTACGGTGCAAAACCCAACGAATAAATAATTATAACGAAAGGAAAATAATACTTGAATAAAATGAAAAACGAAATACCAAAAAACCGAAACACTGCAAAAACCAAAAAACCGAATAAACAAAGGAAAACAAAAAACAGAGACAAACAGAAAATAAAATTTAACAATTTATAAAGTTAATTTCGCTGTAGCGAAGAGCAGAGCGCTCTGTTAAGTTGATTTTAATGCTAATTTATTTTTATCAGGAGAGAGTGGTGGGAAAAAAACGAAAGCTGAAACATTTTTAATTGCATACCTTAAGGCAAATAAACACTGCGTATTATTCGTATTCGTACTCCCCGTTGCCGGAACGCTTTTCATTTTGTTTTTGTCCCTCCCCGAACCGACAGAAAAAAAACCCCTCGGTTCGGTTCTAATTTAAATGTTTATTTCGGTAAATGCCCCTTGAACTAGATGGGTGCGAGCTTTGACCTTGACCTCACTTGTGGGTCACTCATTCGTGGGCAGACCCTGCTGTGCGGCATGCCACTCACACGCTTCGGCAGTGGGCCCTGCACTGATTTGGCCAGCGAGAATAGACCGCTATATATAGGCGGCCGCAGCAGCAGCAGCAGCAGGTGTATTTCCCAGTGTTCCCATTTCCCTTATCAACGTTGTTGTATTCTTATCGGGGAGTACGCGCCGAGTACCCCTAATAGACCGCGATAGGGCCTTGTCTTTCGTTTTATCTTATCTTATCTTATCGATGATGTGTCACCGACTAGCATGACACTCCCCATGCCACCACTGCCACCCCACTTCCATGGCTTATTGGCTTTTAATGCTCTGTCGAGGGTTGCATGTACACACACACACACACACACTCTCTCTCTCTCTCTCTCTCAACACTTTCATGGCTCAATAAATTTCTATTAGTTGGACTTTACCATGAAGTAAAGGCAAGGGGCCAAACAGGACACCGAGTGCCTCGCTCCCAGACATTGACTTTAATTGAAAATCGAAAAATCCGATACGAAATTAATTTCTCTTCTAAAAATACAGCTTAGCTCTGCTTCTTCTCCTGCCACTCCTGCTTTTGCTTGTACTCCTTCTCAGCTTTCACTTTTGTCCATGCACTTGTCGCTGGATCGTTCGTTGCTGGTCGATGGTCTCCGGTCCTGGTCCTAGTGCTGGTCCTGGTCCTGGTCCTGGTCCTGGCCCTGGCTTTATTTATGAGCCCAGGAGTGGCCTAGTGTGGTCTTGTCCCCGACTCTCGTATCCCGTATCCCATATCCCGTATCTGTGCTGGAGTGCCATTGCCCACAGCCAGGGATTGGTATACGGTTGCAATTTGTGCAGTTTAACGCTGGCCTTTGGCCTGCTGCTGATGCTGATGCTCCCTGCTTTTGTTTTTCCCATCGTTCTGGCCCATTGCATGGTTGCCATTTAATGACTTTGTCGTCGTAGCCGTTGCTGTTGCTGTTGCTGTTGCTGCCGCTGGAGGCACTAACTATCTATCCCCTGCCCCACCCCCCGGCCACACACATCCCCCACATCGGCCGGGCTCTTATCTGCTGCAGCTCCTGGCTGCTGGCGTCCACTGCGTCGTCGTCGTCGTCGTCTCATGTTGGCTAAAACGAAGGAATTGCATGAAAGCATAAAACCGACAGTACATGACTTTGGGTGATAAATGGCCCTGGTCGAGGATGGAGCCCGCTCTCTCAGCTGTAATTTGCGCCCTCTTCTGCAGCCATCCTAAGCCCAGTCTTCCAGTGTCCGCCTCCCCCCGTAAATTACATGCCCCCGGGTTGCACGGAACCAAACACAGCTCCCTGGGCTCGCTTTATGATTGAAGCCTCGACCTCTCTGCCTACGGATGATGATCCTCCCACAAACAACAAGAAAAAAGCAACCTCGCAGTTCGTTCCATTCCGTTCCGCTTCTGCTTTTTAATAAACTTTTGTCTGTGTGTGTGGTGTCATCAATTTTCTTTATGGTCGTTTGGACCTTTCCCCGCTTTCACTGTGGGGAAAATGCTCTCGCTGCTCTTTCTTTCTTTCCTTTTTTTCCCAGTCATTTAATTGAAAATATGGCGCACAAAGTCAAAAGCTACTGCCGTTTCGACTTTATATGTCTATTGATTTTTGTATTAATAAATCTTTGGGCTTCTTTTTTTTTGCTTTATTGTGTCGCCTTTGTCGTTGCTAACGAAAAACCTTTTGCCATTTTTCAGTCAACACCTGGCGGCCAGGAGGCGGCAGAGCCCACACCGACACCCACAAAAGTGCCTAAATCGGTTTCCGATAAAAAACGCTTCTTCGAATCAGCCATGGAGGATCAGCACAAGCCCACACAAAAGACAGGTGAGAAAACTTTCCCAAATGAACCTCAATGGAAGCCCCGCCTCTTCCCTGGCTGGCACTTTGCCACTTGCCACTTGCCACTTAAATCTTAGACTTAGACTTGCCGCACAAGTTGTCAATCAAACCACTTATCAATGGTTGCCAAGCAACCGCAGGTTGCTGCCACCTTTTGCTCCAGTGGTTCGAGTAATTAGGGAGAGTGGAATCGTACCGCACCGCACTGTCTGTTGCCTGTGTTTTGCATGCAACGACTGTGCGAAAGAGCATCGGGAGGAGATAAATGCAACTATCGCTATTTATTTAATTTCCCTCTTGACGACATCCCTTTTATATTTGAATTCCCACTGATTTGCTACGACTTTCTTTGCCCATCCCTCTTTCTCTTTTCAGAGAAAGTTTTCTCATTCCTGTCAAAGGACGAAGTGGAAAAGTTGCGACAGGAGGAGGAGAAGAAAATTGCAACATTGCGCCGTGATAAGAAATCCAGATTATTGGATGCAGCCAATGACAACATTGACAAGGACGCTGCCAGTCATACCGATAAGCGCTATGATAACGCCGGCAACAGCAGCGGCAGCGGCAACGACGACGACGACGACGACGACGACAGCGACCAGGAGGCTAACGCACGAGAGGATGCCGTCGACAATGCCGCTTTGGGGCGCTTCGATGAGGCGGAAGACATGAGGTGAGTGTCGGCTATGTCCGGGAGAGAGCTCTCATTTATTCGGATTATGGGTGCTTGCGTTTTTGCGCTTTTTATGTTACATCTGAATGCACAGACACGCCCCCCAATCAATCAAAAAACCCCACATCCAGCCATCCTCTCCCACACACCCCCCCAACCGAATATACGATTATGATAACACATAAACATGCACCCTCACACAACTCCGCACACACATACATTATTTTCACGGTGTTTGTGCATTTACCGTAGAATATTATCTATCTCTATATTTTTCAATATTTTTATTTTTTTATTTTTATTGGTCAAGTTTTTCCGCTGACTTTTGGTTTGGTTCTGGTGCCGGTTTCTCTTTACGTTGCTCTTAAATTAGATTACTTTCAATCATACAACATGCAACATGTTGCACACACACATACAAAATATTTCTCTATTCGTACATGCCACACCAACACACACACACACAGCCCGCTGACGGAGCTGCTAATCATTATTGAGACTTAGTGTGTTATTAAATAAGGATATGATAGGATAGCGATCTATGGCTGAGTAAGAGAGAGGTCTTTAATAGTAAGTACTCCGCACAGCACAGCACACACCCTCCGCCCGCTCACCCTCCGCCTCATATCCATGCATACGATTATAAGCGTGTAAGCAGCCCTAAGCAGTTTAAGTTTTATGTAGCACTTAAGCGCGTTCCATGGACTCGTAAATCGCAGACGTCAGACGGGAGACGGGAGCCGGCAGCCAGCACAGGAATCAGCCTCTGAGCCGTTCATTTACTTTAAAAAAGTGTACGGCAAACATGTTATGGCTTCTCCTCTGCCAGCGAAATCTTTTTAGTACATTGTAGACCACACACCCACCCACCCAGTGGGCATCAAATCATCCTGTAGGAGAGAGTACATGGCTGTGGGCGGGTGTGTAATCTCTCTGTGCCCCCCCCCTGTCGGAAACTTAACTCAAAAATGTAAGTACTTCCGCGCTGCTTCTACTTAATTTTGAGCCACCATTGCGTATACGCAATGTGGTACTGTGGTATGCCCCCAGGGTGAGACGCTCCCGATATCTGTGCTCGACTTGGGCGCACTTCGATTCCCCGCGGCGCCATGCCATCTGTTTTACAATTGAATAACTTCATTTGGGGCATTCCGCAAATTGCGTTTGGGGAGGAGCCCACGCACACGTACGCATAATTTTGGCATTCACTGGGGAATCGATGATTTTATGCCAAGTATGTTGCTGCAGCAGCCAGGTGCTGGGAATCACGACTACCTAGCGGGAAATTTCACTGATTTTCTAGCCTTTTGCATGCCCCCCCCCCCCCCCCCCCCCCCCCCCACGCCCCATACACACACGAACAAACAGGAGTGAAGGGTGCGGCGACAAATGATATTTTAATGTCGGCCACACGACAGAAACTGGTAATTATAATTAGCGCCTTTGTGGGCGCTGTCTGTGCCTGTGTCGCTGCCCCACTTGATGACCCTTGGACGCGCTGAAGGTTGCATGCAACACGTAGCAACCACAAAGCGTTACCCCGGCGGAACTTTTACCGCAAGCTGCTGTTGTTGTTGGTGCTGTTTCTATTGCTCCTCTTCTGTCATTTCAAAAGCTGTGCTGCGTGTAGGGTGTCTGCCAAACAAACAATGAAAGAAACTACGACTGAAAGCTCTCACCTGCCCACACCAGCACCTTCCACCTAGATCCATGGCAGCCATTTAAGAGCACCCGGAACCCCTCGAACACATATTTTCCCTGTCGCCCATCCTCCGCTGCCGCCGCTTAACGGGAAACTTTCACACATATGCGTCGCGGCTTGAAGGAGCTGCTGCTCCCCACGCGATGTTCCGGTGGCTGACTCTAACAACATTATATAATGAGCAACAACAAAGTAATTTAATACAATTTTAGCCCCCAAAGCTGCTGCAGGAAAACATTAAAAAGAGCACAAAAGCCACAGAGCGCGAGAGAAAGAGTCGCCTTTGGCATACCCTACTCGGGTCAATCCCCCCGTCAAGAAACCAGATCGAATAGTCTGACCTTTGCCTCAAATTATGGCCCCATAAATTCCCCCCACACACAGACACACACATACGAGTATCTATATGGAAATCAATAGATAGATAGATAGAGAGTCGGAGAAGTCTTTCATCTAGTACGAAACGAATGAATGCCTGTTTCCGGTCATAAGGGTATATTAGCCAAAGACAAAGGAGAAGAAAACAACAACAGCAAAGGGGGGAAAAATGTGCACAAACAGAAAAGAGACGACAGACAACACGTATGACAACAGCAGATATCATATGGCATATGGCACACACCCACACACACGAACAAAATGGTGTCCTTTTTGTGTGTTTGCGGATGAAATGTTGGATAGGGCTATGAAAACAAGGAGAGTATATTTTCACTTGGGCGCCACCATTTATGTACATTTCATTACAAAGGCATTTGATGGATTCCCCCTGTGAACAGGGGCAAAACCCTTTCCCAATCCTCCCACTTTCCAGCTATTCTTTTGATCTACGCCAGCATTTAGATGTAGCCTTGAACTAATCATTAAAATTTTGAATAAATATACGATGACTTCATAGCTCCGGACCCCACAAGAGTTATCTGCGCAATTTCCCAAAGCCCAACGCCCAGAACCCTAGAACCCTAGAACCCACTGGAATCTGGCTGTTTTTGTCGAAGAAAACCTTGAAATCAAATTGGCCAAAAGTTTTGGGTCTCGAACCAGTCTGGCCTTACAACTTTACATGAATAATATAATAAATTGAAATGTGTGTTATTATGTTGCGGCTGGGTGCCCCCTCCACCTGTCCGGCCTGCCCTGCCCTTGGAATCCATAACGAGGAAAAGAAGATAAACATGTTAATAACCTTGTAATAAATTTCTAGGCAAGAATTTCTACTAGTTCTCCCAGGGTCGGTCGGTCGGCGGGTCGGTCGGTTTCTTTTTTCCTGTTTTTATGCATAAATTTTGGCATAGCAGAATGTATGTAAAAAAAATAGAATAGAACAGAGCAAGACCAGAAGAATGTTTGTTGCGTATAAAAAAAGAAAAAAACCCAGATATCAAATTAGCCGGCAATAGCAATGTTCTCCAAAAAACTATTTGTATTTATATTCAAATTAAACTCGTCTAAATCTATAAAAACGGTGAAACACAAAAGGCTCGCCAGATCCGTGTTTATGAATTTTTTCTTCTTTTTTGGCAACATTAGAGTTTGGCTTCCGTGACGACAAAGACGACGCGGCGGCAGCGACGGCGGCAAAACGCAATCGAATTCTTAGCCGTGCATTAATCGTCTAATTTATTGTTTGATAATTTATGAACTATTATTAGTTGGTCGTCCGTCTCCCCCGTTCTGTTAGCCCAAGGCTTGGGCCCGGCCCGGCCAATGATCGGACTCGAAATCGAAATCGAACTCGGGCTCGGGGACTGGCAAATGTATAACTCCCTCGCTGTCGCTGTCGCTCTCGCTTTCAATTGGTTTTTCGGACTTTTTTTTTGGTCATTCGGTTTGGCGCAGCGGTTGACCCTGAATCTGAAAATCTTTTGGACGCGACAAGACAATTGGTGGTCAGTGGTGATGGCGACAGCGGCAGATTGGACGATGCTGCTTCTCTCTTCTCTCTTATTTTTTTGTTTTTGTTTTTTTTTTGTTATTGTATTTTACATTTATAAATGTATATGTTTGCGGCCGTTTGCTTCTTGGACTTTTGGACGTTTTTGTGATTTTATGCAGATGAAAATATTTATGTTTTGTTGATTGCGCATAAATTAATTTATATTTTATGGCGTTGGCGCTTCGTTCGTTCCACAAATGGACCGCGTCCGCATCCCCTCTGCCGCTGCTGCTCCGCATATGCAAATCGCAGAATGCTCTGTTGTTGTCTCTCTTTCACCGTGTCTCTGATATCAAAAGCATAATTTGACCTTAAGCTAAAAATGAGGGCGTTAATGATGTTTTTTGTTTGCTTTTCTCAGTCTATTTTATTTAATTTTTATTTTATTTTTTCTTCTCCTTTCGGCTGTCTATAGTATGCGTTTTTTGTTTTGCCCTTTTCGTTGGGCATAAATATTAATCAAAATCCCCTCCCACCACCCCCCGGCTCAACTGAAACAGAACCAGACCAAAAATGAGTGGAAATTTGACTGTGTTTATTATTTTACAATTAGCGAGACTCTCTGCACCTGTTTTGATTGTACACCACACCAGAAAAAAATCTCACAAAAAAAAAAACAACAAACTCTCTTTCTCTCTCTCTCTCTGTTTCTGCTTTTCCCAATCACTTTTCCAGGAATCCACTTGAAGAAATTGAAGCAGTATTTAGATGTTAAAACTAAAATAAGCTCTGACACAACACAAACCACAACCACAACCACACACCCACACCGACCACACAGTTGTGAGAATGTGACACGTTTATTAACAATAACTATAATTAAAAGCTACAACTATAACTTAAACTTAAACTCTAACCTTTATACATACATATATGTATGTATGTATGTATATTTATTTGTATTTGTATATCTATATATGTATTTCGACACGAGACTTTTCAGACTATAAGTTACTACTGCTAAAGCAAGCCAGTAAACAGAAGCAACCTACAACTGAACCTACAATATACATAAAGTAATTTTTTATACTACTTTACTATACGAGACGGCAACTTTTTACGAGCGTAAACTTTATAGAGTGACAACTACTGCCACACAAACACCACGCCCCACCCGTACAGCCGTAAAGCCGTACAGCCGTACACCCACCCACCCCTCACACTTGATAGGCATGGTGTTAATGCTGGCACACGTGTGTGTTACGTACCGCCCACTTGCCCGCCTTTTATTTTTGTGCATTTTATTAGCCTAATTATTTCTCTCTTTTTCCAAATTGGCCAACTTTTTCTCCTCCTCCCAGAACTACGAGTACGAGTACAACTGCACTACAGTATGAGTACGAGTATGAGACCCTGTCCGGGCTGCCAGCACTTGAAATTTTTGAGTATACCACCTGCACACTCACACACCTTCAACGCTTTTAAAATGCACACACTCACATAGATACACTAACACTCTGATAGACAGATACACGAGTGCCTTGGCTGGCGTTTTGTTGATTGCATAATTTATATGCATTTTGCATTTTAAAAATGTTTGTTATTAAAAGTAATGATTTTTCGAGCAGGTCCACAGATAGGACACTAATTACTATTTGCCCTGCTTTTCGACCACGAATGTCCTTTTGTGAATGGCTTTTAATTGCCGCAGATACAAGATACAGACATGTGTTACGATCCCACAGATATAGAGTCGATTTATTGCCGAGTAATTTGCTGTGCGGGTCATTCAGGGCATTTGCTTTTACATATGTTACAGTGAGATTCCATTGTGAAACGATTAGTGCTTAAAGTTCCTGACTTAAAGTTAGTCCTAATAGTTATCCATAGTACATGTACTGCAAATGTTTTGTCCCTCTGAAAGTTAAGTTTAATGATTCACGATGAGTAGTAGTGTCGAGGCAGCGTTACATTTTTCTATATATTTTATAAATACAATATTTATACGTTAATGTGTGAACAATAAGAACAGCATAATTAAGCACTGCTAATCCATGTATTAATTATAATATATATATTACGTATTACGCCTATGGTTACGGCCAGCACCTGCATTATACTACATCACTGTCATTATACTATTTATCATCCCACATCAAAGTATTTGTACTTTTGTATTTATTTATCATCCATCTATTTGTGCCATACACAAAAACATATTCATGTATTGCTGTTATTTTGCCACCAAAAAAACAAAAGAAAACAAAAATAATCAAAAAAAAGAGAGTACAATTTCATTAAACTAGAAAATAAAGGTGAATGAATCGAAAAAAGTTTTATTGCTTCTACTTTATACCGTTGCATAATTGTTTGAACTTTAACAAACTTTTGAGCACTCTCCGGTTGTGGTTTCTGCATCGTTTTTTACTTTCCACACCCACTTTACCCCCCTCTAACCGCCCATAACTACTTATCAATCTGTGCCGCGGACGTTTATTGGAAGTGTTTTTGATTATGGAACGAGCACTGGGCTGCGAACTGGGCTGGCCTCTCCATCATAATGAGACGGGGGGAATTCAGCAATTAGCAATTGAAAGCGGCCAACAATCCACCAGCTCAGAACAGTTGCACAGAACAGTTTTTTTTTTTTCCTGGGGGGGAAAAGAAAGTTCCGTGGCAGGCCCATTGCATAAATCTGTCAATTGCAAAAGCTGAACGAGCGCTCGAATACTTTCACTGGGAGTTCTCTCTCGAGCCGCCAGGACTAGCACTGCGCGGACGATGGAGCCCCAGGACGGGCGACCATTGTATGTCGGTACGCGCTCGAGTGTCAGAGCAAAGTTCATTTAAAAGTCGAGGGGACAAATGAATGAATAAGAGGAGCGGAGCGCCAAGCAAATGCCAGGCTAAAGAAATGAGCAAGAAGAGAATCTGGAGAATATTATAAGTGCAATTCCCTGGGTCAAGATCTGCCCTACTCCTTCGTGTGGCAGGGCACCCTCTCCGGACGCCTCTCAGGCGTGACATTCGTAGGTAGTGAAAATGCTCCAACGAAAAGTTTTCCCCACCAAGACGCCGCCGGCGCCCAAATTGAAAAACATAAATCACTCAAGCAGAAGTTGTTGCCACTACCGCCGTATAGTTGTAGACGACGAAGCCGTACCCAAAGCTGAGGCTCTGTGCGGAATAATTTCGTATTAAAGTTAAATTGAAAGTGTGTAGCAATTTGTTTAAAACAAAAGCCAGTTGGGTGCAAGAAAAATAGTAAAGTCAGAGGAGAGAAGATTCTGCTACCCATAGATAGGTCTCTCAGCAGCTTAGACAAAACAAAAAAAAAAAAAATATACATGAGAAACCGTCTTGCGAATAGTTCTCAGACGCTTTATTTAAAATTAAATTTTGCATACCATATACACTATATATATGCGTATATCGTATATATATAGTTATATAGTGCGAGACGCCGTTTGGCAAGTTTTACGACTCCACAGACATGCTGCTGGTGCTGGTGCTAGTGCTTCTGCTTCTGCTCGAAGGAGGAGCCGGAGCCCCAACACGCTAATCTCCAGCTGCCATGTTATTGCACTTGTTGGGGAAAGTTTTTCAAAAAGTGATTTTGTCAGGGACTGGGACGACTACCGACAACTGGGCTGATGAGTTGGGCTGAGGAGGGTTTTCGTGTAAAACTTTACAGTATGTTTCTTGGTTTTTAATTACAACGAATTCGACTTGTTATTCCAAAGTTTTCGAGCACTGGGAGACTCGGGGTAGCTCGGTAACTGTGTAGCTGCGGAGGAAAGTCAGGGCACGTACGTGCGCGTCAGTACATGTGTGTGTGACTAAAGGAAAAGACTAAAATTAACGTCATTATGTCTGTAACAGCTCATATCACGTGCTAACCGCATTTCACCGCCACCACAAACCACACCCCTCCTTTTTGTCAAACAACAAGCTAATTTTTTGATTAAATGTGTGTTTTACTTTGCACAATTCGAACACCGAAAAAAAAACAAACAAAAATCTCAAAATTATGACAGAACCGCACAAAGTCTGGCGCCGACACTGCCGCACGCCCCCATCAAAGTCAGCAAAATCCCCAAGCAGAAGCAGAAGGAGAAGGTAAAAGCGAAGGCGGCTCCCATCAAGCCTGCCACGGCAACTGATCCGCCCAAGCCCTCGCTGCTGCCGAAGCCAAAGGTCAAAGTTGTCATTCCGCCAGCACTGCAGCAGCGCCTCAAGCAGCAGCAGGAGCAACAGCACCAGCAACAGCAGCAATCCCAGCCAGAGGAGCCCACCATACCCGAGGACCTTGAGGAGGAGCTGGCGGCGACATCTCCCACCAGCAGTCGGATACCCGTGCGCACCTTGAAGGCTGAACGCCGCGCCCTGGCAGCGGCCGCGCGGCAGGCGGGCCTCGGTGTCGACGAGTACATAAGGCGGCTGGAGGAGGAGCGACTCCAGGGCGAGTCGCCGTCGTCGCCAACATCGCCAGCGGCCCCGACAACGCCCACAGGCAAGAGCCGGGCCATGATTAAGTAAGTTATATGCGTGCCGGTCAAAGAGTTGACGTGCGTGCACAGGTTGTGTACAGGTTGGAGCTGCCCCAGAAAGAAGGGTCACAGGTCAAGCATCTGCTGTCCGGCATACAGCTGTAGGCGTAGCTTATCCGAGGGCAATAGACAAAGACAATCCCCATTTGGGTTCGACCGCAGCCTACACCCCACCACCCACAAGAAATGCACCCACCCACACAAACAAACGCACACACACACGCAGAGAAGAGGCAAATATGAATTCTCAATGTTTCCGTATATGTATCCTCCTTGTATAGTATATGTATCCATTGATGGAACACCTTCCCCCATCTTTGTTTTTAGTTTTTGCGGTGACTGTCCAGGCCACACCCACACCCAATCTTACTTCTACTCTTTTACACTCTTACTATATATATATATATATCTCTGTCTCTGTGTAAATACAATAGTCTCTCTGTACAATAGTCACATTTTGTAATTATTTTTGCTTCAGCTGGAGTTTAGATTCTGTCTGTCGGCCGTATTGAGTAGTTATTTCCCCTTAAAATCAAAGACATATCTAATGGATTTCACTTTCATTCAATGTAGCTCTGAGAAGCGTGCCTCCTGGAGGGCAGCCCGTCTCCGGTCCCTCGAGCAGGGCGCCGTCGAGGCCCAGGATGTCATCAAGAATATGCGCAAGGTGACCGATGATCTGATCACGCACGAGTCGAGGGCCAGCGAGGTAAGTGGCATCTCCAGGGCCCTACTGATCTTGAGCACTAACCGAACCCATAGCGAAAACCCCCCCAAAAACAAAAACCAAAGCCACATATCCATTAACATGCGCGCGAATCGCCCGAGGAATGGCCCGATCCTGCCCGAGAACATAACCCAGAAAAGCGCTGCATATGGTCTGCTTTACTAACTGCAAGACAATAACCCCAACTAAACGCCCAGCCTACCTCTCGACTGTGACTAATGATGAGAGGGATAAAGAAGGAATGAAGTGCTCGCTCGCTCGAATTATATTTCAATCAAAATTCAATCTTTATCTTTCTCTCACCCAAACCCACTCCATCTTTCTGTCTCTCCCTCTTTATGGCTGTTTATCCACTAATCAGGCTCAGCCGAAAATAGTATTTCCAAAAATTGCCATAAAATCAAGCGACGGTCCAGTAATTGTACGCGAACGCGAGAAAATACTCGACGAGAAAATCGTGCGCCGCACTGAGGAGGTTGCCTGCCCCATAACGGGGCGACCTCAACTGCGGACCGTCGAGTACATTGAGAAAATCATCGAAACGGAGGTTAGCTACATACAAAATCAAAATTAAATCCAATCCAGTCACCCGTACTGTAAATATATCAATTGGCACCAATCTTGAGTTTCGTTAGAGCAATGCTAAAGCGTTTTAGATACTCTCTTTTTTTCCAAGTATACCCGGTTTTTTGTTGCCGCCTCTTGTTTGTGCGTCTTTCATCTGCGAGTAGATTGTTTCGTACAGTAGTTATCAGGTTGCACGCTCCTAAACATTTAATGCACACCCACAAAGCACTTGAATGGATCCAGCAGCACTCGTCTCGTCTCTCATTGTACAAAGCAAACATCTCACGAGTCCGTCCCCACCAAGTCCCCGTTCCTGCAAATCCCGTCTCCCTCACAGTCTTAATTATTTTATAGAGCTCATCATTTTTATGGTCTGTCGAGGTCGTGGCCTGTTTCTGTCAGCCTTTTGTCTGTTTGTGCATATTCTCTCAGGGAAACTCTCCTCCGCTTTTTAGTATCTCCGGCTCGAATTGTTGAGTAAAAACAAATTTTTACATCCGCGAAGCACTCTCGGCTGCTATGGGGATTCTGTTGACATTTCTCCAGCTTACGCGACCAGGTGGTCGCAAGCAGCAGTCCTCCCACGACCATCCACCATCCACCATCCACCATCCTCGGCTGAAGTGCAGCGCATAAAAGGACAATAAGCCACTTTTGTTAGCCACCTACGCGAAAAGGTTTTCAGAGTCGAGAGCCAGAGCAGAGTCAGGGCACTCGCGCGGGGCCTGAAATCATTTCCAGTTATTGTTGATGTTTGAGAGTCGCGGTTTTACCACACAACTTCAGGGTCTCGAACCCTCAAAGAGTTTCATTGTCTGTTTTAGGGTTTGTTGTTGTCACGTGTCTATAGACGCCCGACGTCGATGACGGCGAAGACGACCGTCAGACCGTCAATCGGCCTGGGCTTCGACTTGATTCTGGATACCATTTTTGGTATGCAAACGCAGTATAATGACGCGCAGCTTTTTATGGCCAGCTCCATTAAAATTAAAGCAAAAGTTTTTTGTTTTGCGGCAGCCACGTTTTAATGACTTTCAAAATAAATAAATTCAAAACAGCAGTGGCCCGAGGGTCGAAGCTTTTGATACCCTAGCAGAACCATTTCTTATTATATTTGCTATAGAAAATAGTCGCCCGTGATCGAGATCGGACAACACTACAGATTTTCCAATCGTTTGATTGAAGGATAATAAAAAACAACTTTACTTTATAGTTCAAAAATACTTTCCTCCATGCATTGCAATTACCCTCTTCTAGGGTATCCGAAAAGAATGCAAATAAAAACGAAAAAAATAAAAACAAACACGCAAAGTATTTTATGCGCTATTGTTATATTTTGGGGGCACGTGTTTCGGTTCGGAAACGGTTCTGATTTGCTTTTCAATTTGCCAACGGAAGGAAAGGCCATCAGAGCCGAAAGCCCAACCCCATCATCCACTAGAAAGAATGTCAGCCAATGGCCCTGGAGCTGCAGCTGAAAGAGGGGCTGAAGCTGAAGCCCAAGCTGGTTGTGGTTTCATTCCGGGTAATTCGAGTGCAAAAAACTTTGCTGTAGGCAGACTGCTGGAGAGAAACTTTTGCCTTTGCCTTGCCTTGAGAGGTAGCCTCCTGGCCAGAGGCTGACCCCGTTGCACAAAATGCACCGCACCGCAGGGGGCCTGCAGAAGCCATCCAGCCTCTGTTCTCCGATTGCACAGTGCACAGTGCACAGGGCCTGTCAGCGGCAGTAGAGGAGCGGCGGGACTTGGTTTCAGCTTATCTTCCTATTCAGGACTCTTTCACTTTGACAAGTAGAAAATGCAGGCAATTTTCCCCAGAAGCAGTCGTTTGTCAATTTGCCTCATATCACGTACACGACATGGCTGCCATCGTGCGTGCCTACCTTACATTTACCTAGACGCCTCTCTCGACGGCCAGACAGCTAGTCATCTACTGGCCCTGATCAGATCAGATTAGTTCTAGACAACTGAACCTAAAAACTTTTGCACATATGTATTGCCCTCCCCTGCCCTGCCCAGCCTGTCCTTCTCCTCCCACAACAACTAATGACTTACACCTTTACACCTCTGTAAGCATTTATAACTTAAATTTCACTCTACTAATACACCTTTTGTTGGGCTGTGGCTTACACTCACTCTATGCACCATTCACAAGATTTTCATTTTCCACCACGCTGTGTAAATTAGCTTCATTCGAGTTTGAGCGATTCAAAGCGCCTGCTTCCCATAAACTCCATGTATATTGAGTTGCTTCTGGTTGTGGACACCTGCCTGTTGCTTTCTGTCGTTGCTTTCGTTAGAAGTTAGTGTGCTGGCCAAAACCAAATGCACAACGTATCCGCATCTCCCATGTACTTAGGTGGAGACCTGCAAGGAGCGCATCATTTCACTGGAGCTGCAGGTGCCCGAGTCGGAGGATGGCACTTTGGACGAAACACAGCCGCCATTCGAACTGGAGGAGGAGGAAGATGATTTCGAAGATGCTGCAGAAGATGACGACGATGACGACGACGACGACGACGAGGATGAAGAAGAAGAGGAGGAAGAGGAAGATACCGCCTCTATTGTTACCGTCCAGGGCAATAATGAGAAACTGTTTTTGCGACACGATTCGGATGCCTACGGACCGTCCTCCATCGAGAGCGTCACATCCGGCAAGATGCGCATCAAGCCCACGCCGCTGTCCCTCCACCAGACACTGGCCAAGGAGACGACCATCGTGGAGGTACTAAATCCCGTCATCGGGGGCGATGGCACTGCCCGCACCATCCACGTGAGCGGGGTGCCGTTTGACGATGACGAATTCGAGCAGGGGGCCGTGTCCGTGCTGCGTAGCGAAACATTTGTATTGCCCCAGAGCGGCGGAGGCGTTGTGGGCGGCAGGTCGGAGCTGTCATTAAATGCAAAAATGAAAACTGTGCTCGAGGAGCTGCTGGAGAACGAGCGCGTCAAATTGAATTTACAGAAGAGCCTCGAGGAGCACAGCGACAACGACAACGATGAGGAGGATGGGGAGGATGCTTTTGGCGATGCGAGGGACGACGACGAGAGGAGCGCCTACGGTGATGCCATGGACGATGTTGTTGACTTTGGTGCTGCCCCGGTCACAACCCGTGGAACTAATGACCAGGATGATGCCGCGAACGGCAATCAGCAGCTGCTCGAGGAGCTGATAAAGGACAGCAACCGCAACACAATCATTGCTAAATTGGCAGGCCAATTGTCCGACGATGATGACGAGGAGGATGACGACGAGGAGGACGAAAGCAGCGACTCATCAGACGAGGATAGCGACGACTCTGACGAGGAGGACAATGCCGAAGAGCAGCTGAATGTTACCTATGTGCAGGGCGCCCAGGTAATCGAGAATCTCAATACGCTGGCCACCGGCGGCAAGCTCCAAAAGTCGCAAACCTACACCACCATGAAGCAGGCCGAGGAGGAGCACCCCCAAGCCGCACCCGAGCCCGAAACTGAAGCTGAGGCTGATCCCACTCCAGCGGAATCCCAGTGCGGCGCCGACACTCTGGCTCAGCTGCAGGCCGAACAGCGTGCCCTGGCCGAGATCTCAAAGCAGCTGCGCAAGTCTGTCGAGGATTTGCTCAGCGCCGATGGTGGCACTGTGGTGGAGACACAGCGCACCTACACCCTGCCCGCTGCCAGCGACAGTGCGGCGGTGGTAACCGTCACGGAGGTCGTGAGGAAAGAGAAGAAAAAGGTATCCTCGGAGTCGGGCGAGGCTCTGTTCAACCGTCTGCTGAGTGCCGGCGAGGCGGAGCGCCAGATCTTCGACCAGCAGCACGGTGAGACCATCACGACAACCACCACGACCACAGAGGCTGTAACTAGCGCCGGACAGGGAGCGACATCAGCCGCGGCGGCGGCAGCGGCAGCGGCAGCGTCAGCGTCAGCTGGGGAGCCAAGTACCAGTGTGGTGACCACCACGAGGACCGTGTCAAATATTGTTACCAGCGGCATTCCACGACCGGAGAGCACTACCAAGCAGCAGAGCAATCGCGGTGGCAATGGCAGCAATAACCGCAACAAGAACAAGCGCAAGGGAAAGAAGAAATAGGAAAAAGAATAAAAGAGAAGGAAGGAGGAGATGAGATTGCGTATACGTCATGTGGTTCGTATGTGATTTTACACTTCAAGCGCACACCCACACACAGACTCACAGACACTGTCCATTATTTTCCCACTAATTGTATACATATGTAAATATATGTATGTATGTACAGTACGATGTACGCATATGTATTGATAATTTTAATTAATTGTGCAAATAACGTGTCCCCTGCCTTTACAAAAACTCATTTGTTACTAATCATGAAGCAAAATATTTTCATTGCAAATTAAAAACAAAAAGAGATGAAAATTGCCCAGAGTTTAATCGTAAATTTTAATGTTGTGCAGCAACCACAAAAAGACACCACATCAGCCCCGATCCGAAGCCCTCATAAAAGATATGCATTAATACAACCAGAAACAAAAATCTTATTTAATTGAATTAAATAATTTTATTTTGTTTGCATTTAACTATCATTTGCATATTGCATACGTATGTACACTAGTTTGTCCCTGCATCATACTGCATTTTCCGAATGGGCTACGTTTTTTTTTTTAATTTCTGCCAATTTAATTTGCATTTTAGCACAAGAAATAATACGAGTCGCTGCAGCGGTCTGACGTATTCACGATGACTTGATCTGATCCTTCTGTCAGCATTCCGATTGCCCGCATTTTTTCGGGGCATACTCCTCTTAGTTGTATCCATAAGCAAAACGATTCGAGACGAAGCGAAAACAGACACAAATCAAATATCGTAATCGTACTATTAATCGTAAATAATAGTGAATAGCAATCTGTAAGTGCATCGTCCAGTTGTAATCCCTAGCAAGTAAACACACAATGCATAAGCACAACTACGAGTATGAACTGTCGACATCCTAAAGCGATTTCAGTTTCAACTTTTATATGTATGTAAAATGTAAATGTAAAAATCTTTACAAGCAATTTTATGTAATACCTACCTATGATATTTAGTGTGTAAACTCAACTTTTTATTGAAACGAAACTAAGAGAAAAGCGAAAAACGAAACACGAATGATAATAAACCAATTGTATGCATTTTTATTTAAAGCCAAACAAGTCTTTTCAATCTTTAATTTGTGCTGTACTTAAAGGGGATTGGCTCTAGACCGTGGGCGTGAGCCTTCACTGGATATTGGTTTCCAACGAGGATTGCTTCTGTCATGTTGCTGTAGCAGTCGCTGTTGCCATTGCCGTGGGCGTGTAATTATGTCAAATGGATTTGCCCGAAAATATTTTCCAGCAGAGAGGAGCAGAGTCCTGGCAGTGGCAGCACCAGTTGAGCGGCTTAAAATTCAACCAAAAATGGCATCGAAAATGGTCCCGAGCACAGGCATCTCTATAAATAGATGCCTATATTCCTATATTTTTATTTAGCAAACTGTCGCGATGTAAGTGATTTATGTAACAGGTATACCGCCCGCACCCACATCGCAACAAATTGACATCTCGCAGCGCGTACTTCCTTTAAAAGGAATATATTAAATATTGTTAAAGCTGAACAATAAGGTAACTTATTCGACTGCGCGTATCTATGAGATACATGTGAGGCATGCGTATCTGTTTGGCTGGGATATCAGCCTCCTACGGTGGCTGTCGTGGGAGTGAATGGCAAAGCGGAAGACGCTGCCACTTTAGAGAACGGCAATGGGGATGGGAGCGAGAGTTCTACAACTAGAACGCACAACAGAATGTCTTCCGACATCGTCTGTTCAGGTAGTCAAATAGATAGACAGCTGCCAGGAGCGTACGAGGTCCGAGGGCGTGGCATGGTACAGGGCGGATTGCTAATGTGAAAATCGTTAGAATTCGTTCAGGGCTCATGCTCAATGTTCACATCATACGGGCATGAGTACGGAACGCGTATCTGCGTGTGTGCCTAGAAGAAGTTTGAAGCGGAAAGAAAAGGAAACGTGTAGAGCCCTCGGGCCATGGCCAGGGGACGGGAAGAGACTCACGTTGCCTACTTTGTGCACGGTGCATAATACGATTTGGAGAGTGCAACGTACTCGTCTGAGAGCGAGATAGAGACTTACACTGGGGTGCACTTGCGTCATCATTTTAAATATTCCATGCCCACCAATTGAATTAAGCTCTGTTGAACGCTGAGGAAAGCAGTCTTCTGAGGTAGATGTTGCACTGTTGCACTGTTGCCTGCTGCCTGATGCATGTTGCATGTGCCAAGTGCAATGCTCCTGTGCCTGGCAGGTTCTGGCTCTCTGTCGCTGCGCTGAGTAAGACAAATGAATGTATGTGAGTCTCCCCGTGCCCTTGACCGCCCTGTGCCGGAGCGCCCCGTGACGCGAGGCCCGTGCCTCTTGATGCAGTTGCATTTGCATTTGGGGAGCCCTTCACATGCAGAAGCTGCTCCAGTGCTGCGGGCATTTCGGCAATGACGCTAATGCAACCGCCGCAGCGGTGCAGCAGCACCACCAACATCTAACCCATGCTCAACGCATTAATCAAAATCTCATTTTGGGTGGGTGGCACCCACACATAAACACAGAGGGACAGACAGGGCAGGACACAGACGCATTGCCCATTACATACACTCGGAAAAAGACGAGTTCCATTTCAATCAATGCATTCAGTGCGAAATATCATTTATGTGGAATGTATATATCATTTCTTTTCTCTCAGTGCCATTGTTGCAGTCTCTGAGAGCACAGTCGCAGGGTAGAGGTGGTAAAAACAAAAACAGTTTGTCATATTTTAATACACTCCAGTGGTCTGACAATGCAACTGATGGCTGGCTGCCCTGTCTGGATGCGGGGTCCGTCCTGGAGTGTTCTGGTGGAAAGTGGTGCAAGGGCGAGTACAAGCATCGCTGTCGTGGCCAAAAATCCAGCCAATTGTCGTCCCCTGTCACATTTAATAGGATTATGCTTGGTTAAACACAAATATCCTTGGACACGCATACGCATACACAGACATTCCGGCACCGGCACCGGCTCCGGCACCATGCACCAGCAGCAGGGCACACACATTCTGGTCGAGTGGGTGCCACAAATAAATTTACAGCATTTGCTGCTAAGAATTTTTCGCATTACACACATAAATCCTGGAAAGATGTTTCTTGCTGCTACTGCTAGTCGTCGAACCTTTTGAAAAATGTCCACTGTTTGTTTGTGTAGCACAAACACACACACACGCACACACATGAAGACAGGCATAGGAGCCACCACATATGACCAGGTAGAGGTAGAGGTAGAAGATTCTGTGGCGGTGGTCCTTGGACGCGTGCTCGGCGTGCTATTTGCTGCCGCCCGTTGCTGAGTTATCTGGCAAATAATGGAACGTGCTGTGCAGATGATGCGTTTTCATAAATTTTAAATAAGCACAGCAGCTGGCTGGCTGGCTGGTGGCACCAAGTGGGTCGTAGGCGGCGTAGCTGGGACCAGGAGCAGTCCCAAGACAAAGGAGGACACGGACTTGTGACTCTGCATAATATTCCGTTTTATTCGAAAGTTTAGTTGCGCTTACATTGAGCGCAGCTCCATTGCGCTTAACGGGCTGATTCATTTATCAAGCACTTTATCAGGGCCAGAAGGAGTCCAGTCTGACAATGAAATATCCGTGGAAAACAATAATCCAATTCGATGAACTTTCGGTCTCACGAAGAACGAATAAGCGTATCGTATCCTGCCATGAACACTGGGCCATTGGGGCAGAGCCGATGGCATCAAAATGCACGACTCGCATTGCAATTTTTATGCTGCCACAGCCACAGTTACGGCCACAGCCCCTCTCTCAGTCAGATTTCTATTGTGTGTTAGGCTGCTCCTTCAGCCTGTTGCTGCTCGGCCCGATTCTGGCTGGTGGCACAAACTGCGCAGGCGCTGGAAGTCAGCGCAAACTGTTGCAGTTGGCCTTTCCCCTCCAAAGGACATTTTATCCGTGGCTTTATCCACACACACGTCTGGCTGTAATAGTTGTTTGCGTGGGGCAGGTCCCCAAAGGGACTTCGTCCTCGTCCTCGTCCTCGTCGTCGTTGTTGGCCTCGTCGTGTCCGTTGTTTCCGTTGCCTGGAAGTTTGCTTTTTGTTCTTTCACTGCCTGGAAAGCGGCGCGTTTACTTTTTTTTTTCTTGCATTTAGTGCCTAGTGCCTCCCTAACGACAAAGCCAGCCCCATATCCCCACACCAATCCAATTTTTTCTGAGCTGCCTGTCTTGGCTCGGCGCTGTTCCTCTTTTTCGCACCACTGCGGCAACTGCTGCTTTGCAATTGCAATTTTCAAGGATATGCTTGAAACAGATTTATATGGAGGGCTCAGTACGTGCGGAATTTATTAATGCTGCCCCAGAGCATCACCCAGCCAGCACTTGTGCACAGGCAAAGGCACAAGGCACATGGCAAAGGCACAGGCCCACTCCGCCATCATTAGCTGGCGGCCATAGTAGTTGGCGTTGGCGTTGGCGTAACAATGATGCCACCCATTTTTGGGTTATATAAGGTTAGTGAGTGAGTGCTCGTCGGGAGGGGAGGCACATCGAAGTTGGAACATTAATAATGAGCTGTGTGTTAAGGTGTATGCTTGTGCTGGATCTGGTATTACGAGATTTCCGACATTTGCTTAAACGAAAATGAAAATAGACAGCTCGTTTCCTTTGTTGTTGTTTCACCATAGTTTTGCCTCGAACCTCGAAATTTTGCTCCGTTCCTAATCCAAGCAGTGGGGGTAGGAGGTGGAGAAGCCCTAAGTTGATGGGCCGCTCTCCGGGAATCTGAACAACGCTCACGTATTCGCATTAACAAACTTCGGTGCTTAAAGTGCAGTCGAAAGGCAAGCAAACACCAACAAAGACTAGGAGCTGGCGCCCGTATCCGTATCCGGCATACCGCCGGATCCCAGACACGCGAAAGAGAGCGCAGCTTGCTCTTCACACCATAAAAGTTTATCTGTGTTTGTGCAGTTGGCAAGGCTTGGAGAGAGATGAGGCAACCCGATGGTAATGAGGCGGCGAAAGGCAGCAGCAGATACAAGAAACACTCCCGAGACTCGGACACGGACATGGACACGGAAGTAGACGCGGACGCGGAGCGGACTCCGACATGGCCAAGCATAATTCATGGGTGGAAGCAGTTAACTGCAAACATTCCAAAATTGATTCAAGTTCCACTGAAGCTGCAGCTCCAGCTGCAGCTGCAGCATTCTTTATTCTGCAGCATCCTCTATCCTTCTATCTATTTTCTGCTGAAGCTTCAACTGGGGGCAACATTCCCCTGAAATATTTTAATTATTCTACCTTAAATTCTTTCATTACGTTTCCATCCAACTTAACTCCGTTAATTAATTTTCATGCATACATATATGCTCTGGTTGTCTGGCTCTGGAGCTGCATTCCTGTTCATCCCGGCTCTCCATCAACTGGCGGCCACAGCGGAAGAGCAGTTGAAAAAATCTCTTAAATTGGTTGAAGCCATGGCACCATCGCAATTTGCATACATTTTGATTGTGATTATCCTGGGCCACTGATTTAAATGGGGATGGACGAGAGACCACCCCATGTCACTTGCAACGCCTCGTTGCATGTGGCAGATTGAGCGATGCAAGCTCATTAATAAGCACGACACTCTGACACAGCATTCACATCATCGTCGTCACCATGGAACATCAAGAGTAACAGGAAGAACAGGCCTCCGATGACGAACTCGTGGTTTTCCCATTGTCCTTTTAATGTGCATTGTTTTTCATTGGTAAACGACACACTTATTTATATATGCATTTTTGTAAAATTCTTTTCTCTTTTTAATTAAACCGACATTAAGCGAGTTCAAATGTAAAGAACTTACACTCAATCGATGCCACACGATGATTCACGCATTTAAATATCAGAGGTTTGGTAAAAAATTAAAATTCGCTGATTGCTATTACGTGCATATCAATGGAGTCAACCACACACATACATACGTACACTACAATTCGCCTGAAAAGTGCGCTAGAAAAATGAACCCTACTGTTGGAAATGCGCTGATAACCCGCTGCTTTCATTTCTCATCAGCTTTCAGCCCTATTTGCTGTCTGTTTCAGCCACAGAAGCAGCAGCAG